TCCTCCCTCCTCTCAGAGGGCGCTGGCCACCACAGGTCCTGCCTCGGGGGGCCCCAGGGTGCTGACGCCGTGGGTTGGGTGGGCTCTCCTGCCCTGCCGGCAAGGGCCAGGCCCCCTCCCCCCAGCCCCAGAGCCTCCGCGTCCCGCCGGGAGGGGCCCCTCGGTGACGTCTGGGGAGCCTGGAGACGGGGGTCAATGCAGACGGGGGTCAGCCAGAGCGCCAGATCTTGCAGGATCCTGCGAAGACCCCCTCTGGCTGACCCGGGTTAGCGAGCCGCTCGTGGCCGCGAGGCGGCCGCTCGTATTGGCTGGCCCGGGTTTGCGAAGACCTGCGTCGCAGTTTTTTTTGTTCTTTTTTTTTTTTTCCTGCATTGCAGTTTTTGGTTTCCTGCTGACCCGGGTCTGGATTGACCCGGGTCAGACGATCCCCGACGACGTCTGGGGGATGCGGGAGGAATGGCGCTCACAGTGGACGCCCATGCCGAGCAACGCACCGCCTACCTCCAAGGCGCCCTGGGTTTCTTGGGCTTCGATGGTCTTGCTCGGGGGAGCGTGGCGCTCCCACACCGGGGTCTCAGGGTTCGGTTTCTTGTGGTAGGTTTCTTGTGGTCGAGCTCCCCCTGTATGGGCGCGGGCTTGGAAGCAGCACAGCTGCACTGCCATGTCACAGGGCGCGAGCTCCAGCAGTATACATCAGGCTTGGGCCGCGTTGACGCGGCGGCGACCGCAGCGCGGACCTGCGATGGTGAACGCCGCCAGAGGCCCGGCATCCGCCGACCTCGAACGAGCTGCGCTGCCAGGGAACGCCGCGTCCGCTGCGAGGCCGATCGGGTCGCGCGGCGCCTGGGGTCAGCGCGCAGGTCGTCACGACGCGAACCTGCCGTGCCCCAGCGTGAGGGGCAGGAGGCCGGCCAGGGGCAACGCCAGGGGCAGTGAACTGTGCGAAGGGGGAAGGCCTCGACCCCCATCGCCCAGTCGTCGCCGACGGGGGCCCGACGGCTCCAGGCTGCCCAGCAGCGTGCGGCTGATGGGCCTGTTTTCCACCACCACCACCATACGTTAGAGGGGGAGGGGGTCCTCGTCCTCCTCCTCCTCCTCCTCCTCCTCCTCCTCCTCCCACTCCTCATCCTCCTCCTCTTTGTCCTTCTTCTCCTCCTCGTCCTCCACCTCCTTCCCCCTCCAACTTATGGTGGTGGTGGTGGAAAACAGGCCCATCAGCGGCTCCCTGACCTGGGGCCCATCGCCGATCCATCGGCGAGGCGTCCTGCAAGCGCCGGGGGGGGTCCCCGAGGCGGCTGGCGCACCTCATGCATTGGCTGCCGGCTCGACCCTCTCCCGGGCCGCCGCACGTCGGCCCTCCCCCGGGCCGCCGCACCTCGGCTCTCCTCCGGGCCGACGCGACGTCTCGCCCCAGGGCGGCCTTCAGACCTCAGGAGGGGAAAAGACACACACACAGACAGAATTCATCGTCGACGCCCCAGAAGATCTGGGAGAATCTGGGAAGTGGGGGGGAAGACAATTAACCCCCAAAGTATGGGAAAACGTGGGGAACCTTTTTGATTGCGTGTGTTTATTTGTGTGTGTGTCCCTGGGCCCCCTCAAGCCTGCCTCGCCCGGCCTGCCAGGGCCCCCCGTGTGCGCCGCAGAGATGGAGGCCCCCCCCCCGGGGCTCACGGGAGGTGCCGCCGGTCCTTGGGTCGACGGTTCACTCCCCTTTGAGCCAGCCCCCGCCCCTAATGTTCCCCGGAGGAGGAGGATGAGGAGGAGGAGGAGGAGTAGGAACAGGTTAATCATATGCAGACTAAGCGAAGTAAGACTATTAATAGAAATACTAGCAGCAATATTAAGACTAATCATAATACTAGTCATGAGAAGAAGTATAATGGTACGAATAATAATACGAATGTGAATACTCATAATACGAATAAAAAATACCACAACTACGACAAATAATATTAAGACAACTGCGAATAAGACTAATAATATGAAGAAGATGAGGACGAGGAGGAGGAGGAAGAGGAGGAGGAGGAGGAGCAGGAGGAGGAGGAGGAGGAGGAGGAGGAGGAGGAGGAGCGGGAGGAGGAGGAGGAGGAGGAGGAGGAGGAGTCGGAGGAAGAGGAGGAAGAGGAGGTGTGGGGGGGGGGTCGGAGAGGCGGAGCGGCGGCGCGCCGCGCCCGGGGCGGGGCCCATGCCCGAGCAGGATTTCGTCGCGGGCAACCCCCGCGCGGCGCAGTCCATCTGGTTCGACGAGGCCGGGAACGTGATGGCGGCCGCCTTAGGCCAGGGTCCATCTCGATCCGATCCACCCAGTTCGACGTCCAGAGCCCAGGCATGATCGCGTCGTAAAAAAATCAGGGCTGCAGGTTTTTCGCTCTGTTCGGCCCCTGGGGGCCCTTATCGGGCCTCACGGGGCCACCAAAAAACGACTGAGGATGAAAAGCCGGCCCCGGGGAACGGGTCTGGACTTCGGGGACGCCGTCCTGACAAAAATGAGGACGTCGCGTGTCTGGGAGGAGGACAGTGTACCCATGCCGCTACCCTTCGCCCGCTCCCCTTTTTGGGCCTCCCCGGAAGCCCTCGTCGCCACCGTGGGATGCGCCTCGGAATCCTGGTCAGAACGCGCCCCGGGAAAAGTCCGAGGAGCAGCGGTATCGGTACGTTTTGGTTTCGCCAGTTGTCGTGGCTGGCCGCGCCAGTGCAGCTCGATTTTCGACATTCTGAGGATCCGATGCGGCCCGATGCCATGCATGGCATGGCGCTCATGTGCATCCTGGCGGTGCTGGTCCGATCCGATGTCTGCTCCGTGCCAGTGCAGGCCTGATCCGTCTGAGAGGGCCCGTAGAAGCCAATGGCACGACAGATCCAGATGTGAGGGCTTGGTGGTAAAGAGGATGCGGATCAGCAGGGGGTCGGATGATCAAGGCTTTTTGACGTGTCTGTGACTCTTTAGGGGTCTCGTGGGCCTACCCTGGGGCCTCCAGAGGCCCCCATGGACCTCCAAAGACCCTCAGTGGAATGAGGGGAGAGGACGAGGAAGCATGAGGAGGGCGAAGAAATGATGAGCAGGAGGAGTACGAGGTGCGAGACAAGCAGTCGGGTGCTCGGGTCGATCGTTGCCGTCAGAGCGGGCCTCGGTTGATCATGAATAGGGGGCTCCTTTGCTGAGGCTACCATGTTCTCTTTCACAGTCGGGGCGCGATCCACCGTCGAGGACGGGCCATGGCTTCGCAGTGGCGCGCCTGGTCTCTAGTTCGTGCTCTTCGCTCTTCTTCCGCTTATGATGTGCGTTTGAGTTCGCTCTTTTCTTCGACGAGTTTCCTCTGCGTCTGTTCTCGTTTGTTTTGACTCTCTATCTCTCTCTCTCTCGCTCATTCTCACTCTCTCTCCCACTCTCTGTGTATGTATGTACACATATGTATATCTATATATATATATATCTATATATACATAGATGCAGTCTTCGTGTATCTCAGAGTGAGGGGGTCGAGCGGTCCTACACCTTCCCTGGCTGCGTGGTTGAAGTTGGATTCCGCCGCGTAGATCCTGCTTGAATTTGCACTTCTGAAGAATACATATTGCTGATCCCTCTCTTCGGTGCATTTGGTTGTTCGCAACTAAAGTGCTCCTCCCGGGCCTGCACCCTGCTTGAGCCTCAGACTAGGCTCCTGGCCCCCGAACAACAATAACGGCACACGCATGCTATTTCTTGACAAATTATTCAAATCGCGTACTCGCGCGGGACGTCCTCTCAATTTGCCCCATTCAGGAATCACGCTCTCGCTTTGGACTTCTCGATCTGTTTTGCCAATCGCGCTGTCGCTCGAACAAGCTGCGCGATTCAGGCAGGACTTACGTCTCAGCGACCCGCCCTCCCGACTCGCCCTGATTCTGCCGCCTGTTTTTCTGCCCTTGATCCCCCTCCTGCTAATCTCTCTCGTGTTCCATCATCTTCCCTGTCCTTTGTTCCTTCCCTCCTCCCTCCCTTCCCTGTTTTCGGGCTGCGTTTGCTACGCGTGGCAGGTAAGAACGGTGTATTCCCAAGGGGGCGACGACGGAAGACGAAGGGGGCGGGTACCGAGTGTTCGTGAAATACATGCTGATTGACACGCGAGCAGATAAGAACGAACAATATTAAACCGGTGTTGCTGCTGCTGCTGCTGTCATTGCTGTTGATCCGTGACTACTGGAGAATCTTTTTACTTTATCCGCCCTCCGGGGCACATTGTATTTTTCAATTGAAGTGCCCTTCCCGGGTCTCGCACCTTGTTTTCGCTTGGGGCAAATCTTGGGTCTCTTAATTGGGCCTTTGACCTCTGAGTTACAACAACAACAACGGCTCCCGGCGGATACTTCCTCACAGTTGATTTCCAAATCGCGCTTTCGCGCGAGACTTCCTTACAATGTGAAGAGGAATCGCGTGGAAATTCGTTGCAATTTATTCAAACGCCGCGCAGTCGACACTCAGGAAACACGCTCTCGCTGTGCACGCTCTCGCTGTGGACTTCCTTACGATTTATTTGGGCGTCGCGCTGTCGCTCGAGACTTCCCCGCGATACATGCCGGACGCACGCTTGAGCAACACGCCTGCTCGACCTGGCCGCCTGGGCCCGCATTCCCGACACGCCCGTAATGGTTTGCCCGCCCGATCTGCCCGTCTGGTTCTGCCATGCGTTTTCTGCTCATAGCTCCCCTCCTGGTACTTTCTGTCGTTCTCCATCCTCCCCCCCCTTGTCCCTTCCTTCCATCCGTCCTCTTTTCCTCTGCCTTATTAGGGGCTGCACGAAATACACGGTACAGGTAAAAACGATTGACGCTTGAGGCAGTATGATTGAAGACTATGCGTGTTGAGTGGCACGCGAGCAGATAAGAGTGAACAGTCTTCACATGATTATTGTCGCTGTTGAATCTTAGTTTTTAAAACGTATTAGTGTTGGATGCCTTAAAGGCGCTTTGGCGCTCCTGCCCACGCGCCGGCTGCAGCTCCTCCGAAGAAGAGACTCACGCTGAAGCGTTTCGGGCTTCCACGGAGCGGCCCCCAGCACCACCAACGCTCCGGCTCGACATGTCCCCGTTGCTCATAGCAGGCGCTCTTGCTCGCCGCCCAAAGCCGCCTTTCCAACAAAGCCGGCGCTCCTGCTCGACAGTCATGCTTGGTGCTCAGGACCAGCGCTCCCGTCTCGGCCCCCCATTAAAACCAGGGCTCCCGGTCTATATTTCCTCGGCTGGTATCCAGGACTGGCGAAATTTGGCTCGCCGCCGAATACCGGCCATCCATCAAATCCAGCGCACCCGCTCGATTTTTCCTTGATTTCTATTGAGGACCGGCGCTTTCACGTTGGCGCCGCAGACGGCCCACCCCGACAACAACGACTCTCCCGCTCGATATTCTATTGTTTTAGCTGAGGACAGGCGTTTTTGCTCGCCTCCGAAGACGGGCCGTCCATTAATACCAGGGATCTGGCTCGATGATTCTTTTCGTGTCTACTCAGGACCGGCTGTAAATCTCCGTCGGTGAAGTCCTGTGTCGGAGAATGAAGGAGGATGCTATGGAGATGGAGAGAGTTTCGACTCGCGCTCCACAGCCCACTTGTGTCAAACAGTTTCTGCATGGCAGCAGAGCGAGGTTCCCTGCATTTGGCATCCGCCGGCCGCGCGATCGGCCCCAGTGCCCGCCACCTTCCGGCGCGGACGCGTTTCTCCGCCGATAGCGCGGCGGCCCAGGACAGCGTCTGCGAAGAGATCGAGCCCGACACGGGGTTCGACTAGCAGACCGGCCCGCCGCAGGTGTTTTTTATTCTCACGGGGGCTCCGACGTTTTTCACCAGAGTGGAAGGCAAGCTGGACGTCCGACCAGCGATCACGAGCGGGGCGATGGTCAATCTTCGGTGCCGCCGACAGCGAGCCAAGTCGGCGTCGACAGTCGCGAGGCTGGGAGTTTCAAGGTTTGCGCCCTGGCGCACAACGACCGCGACGCGTATTTCAGTCATGGGGGATGGCATCGCTTTGCTATCGCTTCAGGAGTCGCAGTTTCAACTTCCCCCGTCGACGCGAAGGGCCAGGGGAGAGCGGCGGGCGCCAGCGCGTGCTGCAGGGCAACCCCAGGCGAGATTATTCTGGATGGTGGTGGCATCAGAGTGGTGGGCCAGTCGGAATGGGGCGAGCCGATTGCGTCGAAAAAGCCGGCTAGCCAATGTCCCCGCGCCGCTGCTTTCGGCCAGCCAGGCGCGCGGCGCTGGGGGAGCGACCTGGTGGGCAAGAAATGGCGGCTACTTTGCGCGGACCAACTCGGACATCGCCGGGCGCATCTGCGAGATGGCCGAGGAGCTTTCTGGTGCGAGGGGCGCCGTTCCCCGGCGCGTGGGGAACGGCGCGCGCATCGGAAATTGCCAGAACGACGAAAGAGCAGCAGGTGGTGAACGTAGGGCGCGTGCGATTCGTAGGCGTGCCTGGCGGTGGAGTTGATCTTCGCCCGTTCGGCGAAGGGTCTCGCGGGTGCCGTCGTCGGCGGGCTCGCCCGCAAGACTAGTGCGAGTTGGCGCCTCGGCTGGGGGCCCGGGCCTGGCGCCGGCAGCGAGTCCAGGCGAGGGCCGCGAGATGGGGCGCGCGCCGGAGGTGGCCCCGCCGCGAATCAAGCATATTGCCAGAACCGAGCCAAGGGGAGATCGAGGAAAGCATTTCATCTGGACGCTTTGCTCCTCGCACGTGGCGCGAAGACCGCGCGGGGCCAGCGGGCTGCGGAGATCAACGTGCCGAAGATCGTGCGGGAGGTTCTGTTGTCATCGTCGACTTTGCTTCTCTCGGCGAGAAAGTAGACCTGTTTGCGGGCCCAGATTCCATTCCTAACTTGGTTGCAGTTGAACGCCATTGCAATGCGAAGTGCGCGACCGCTGTGAACGGCGAAGCCGTGTTGTGCAATCGAGTGGGCAATGGGCGGGGGGGGGGGGGCGATTGAAAAAAAAACACCCCCCCGGGCCCCCCAGAATGATTGACTGGAGCGGGCTGAAAAATTCAGCTGCCAGATTATTAGTATTATTATTTTGTTCCCAACCTTCCTTGGTTGGGTATTCGTTTTGAATAGAGCAGTGTGGTCTCCGCTCCTTCCTTCCTCCTCCTCCTTCCTCCCTGCCTCTTCCAGTCTTGCCTGCGAGGGGCTGCGATCTGTGAAACTGTCGCCATTTTCGAGGCCTGCTGGGGGGCCCAGCACAGTGAGGGCGACGCGCAGATTCAAATTAGACCTCGCCATCCCTGGGGGGCTGCGATCTGTGCAACTGTCGCCATTTTCGAGGCCTGCTGGGGGGCCCAGCACAGTGAGGGCGACGCGCAGATTCAAATGAGACCTCGCCGCCCCTGGGGGGGCTGCGATCTGTGAAACTGCCGCCATTTTCGAGGCCTGCTGGGGGGCCCAGCACAGTGAGGGCGACGCGCAGATTCAAATTCGACCTCGCCATCCCTGGGGGGCTGCGATCTGTGAAGCTGTCGCCATTTTCGAGGCCTGCTGGGGGGGCCCAGCGCAGTGAGGGCGACGCGCAGATTCAAACTAGACCTCGCCATCCCTGGGGGGCTGCGATCTGTGAAACTGTCGCCATCTTCGAGGCCTGCTGGGTGGCCCAGCACAGTGAGGGCGACGCGCAAATTCAAATGAGACCTCGCCATCCCTGGGGGGCTGCGATTGAAATTGCTGCCATTTTCGAGGCCTGCTGGGGGGCCCAGCACAGTGAGGGCCACGCGCGGATTCAAATGAGACCTCGCCATCCCTGGGGGGCTGCGATCTGTGAAACTGTCGCCATTTTCGAGGCCTGCTGGGGGGCCCAGCACAGTGACGCCACGGGCAGATTCAAATGAGGTCTCGCCATCCCTGGGGGGGGTGCGATCTGTGAAACTGTCGCCATTTTCGAGGCACGGGCAGATTCAAATGAGACCTCGCCATCCCTGGGGGAGCTGCGATCTGTGAAACTGTCGCCACTTTCGAGGCCTGCTGGGGGTCCCAGCACAGTGGCGCCACGGGCATATTCAAACGAGACCTCGCCGTCCCTTGGGGGCTGCGATCTGTGAAACTGTCGCCGCTTTCGAGGCCTGCTGGGGGGCCCGGCGCAGTGGCGCCACGGGCAAATTCAAATGAGGCCTCGCCATCTTCTGGAGGCTGCGATCTGTGAAGCTGTCGCCACTTTCGAGGCCTGCTGGGGAGCCCAGCACAGTGGCGCCTCCCGCGGACCCAAACTCGACCTCGCCATCCCTGGGGGGCTGCGATCTGTGAAACTGTCGCCACTTTCGAGGCCTGCTGTGATCCCCGTTTTCGAAGTGGCTAGGAGTGCTCAGGAATTGTAACTCATCAGCTTTATCAAGACCTTTTCCTGTAGCCAGTGTCCTGCGAGTCCCCCGACTTCCGTCTGCAGACATATGTGACCCTCGCTCCGTCATCGCCCCCTGATCAAGTATCCTAAACTATTTGAGCCCCGCTTTTGCGCAGGGGTTGGGTGCGTCGCCAGGGTAATAAAAAGCACATATGTATAATATACATATGTAAATAAATCGTCCGCGCCCCAGCGTTTGCTCTTGCCCCTTTGGGGGAACTGATTGTCGATTCTTCCTCCCTCGCTCGCTTGATCGCCCGCGGCCGCTGGGGGGGATTGCGGAGGGGGGGGCGGGGTAATTAGGGGGTAGTTGAGGGAAGGGGTTTTCGAAGAGGCGCTTGATCGCCCATCGTCCTTGCGGGCGGCCGCCGGTCGCCCCAGCGGGCGGCCGCGGCGATTGTGGGGCGGGGGGCGAGGAGGGGGGGCTGGGGGGGAGGAAGAGAAGGAGGAGGAGGAGGGGGGGGCTGCGGCGCGCGGCGACGAGGGGGAAAGGGGGGCGAGACAGCGAGAGGGCCACACTTGTCCTTGCGGACGGGGGGGGGAGGAGGACGAACAGGGGGGGGGCGACGAGGGGGGGGCGGAGAAAAAGTAGGGGGGGGGCGAAGAGGAGGAGGGCGAGGAGGAGGGGGGGGGGGAGGAGGAAAATGAGGAGGAGGGAGGAGGGGGAGAGGGGGGGGGGGAGAGGAGGAGGAGGAGGGGGAGGAGAGGAGGAGGAGGAGGAGGAGGAGGAGGGGGAGGAGGAGGAGGAGGAGGAGGAGGAGGAGGAGGAGGAGGAGGAGGGAGGAGGAGGAGGAGGAGGAGGAGGAGGAGGAGGAGGGGGAGGAGGAGGAGAGGCGGAGGAGGAGGAGGAGGAGGAGGACGAGTTCGCCTTGAAAAATCACACCGTCCACCCCCCTGGCCCCCGCGCACTGGGTCGCCGCCCCGTGCCCCCCCTCCCTGGCCTTCCAGGCGAAGCGGAATTGTCGGCCCCCCGTGCGCCTGCCTTGCTCCCCCGCTATTGCGGGGGCGAGTGGACCCGCGAAACATTTTTTTCAATCGCCCGCCCCAGACAGTTGTTTTTTGTAATCGTGTCCCCCCATTAGTGCGACTTCTCGATCGCTCAGGGCGTCGGGGCATTCGGTTTAAGTCCGACGGCGAGGCGAGTGTTTGCGCGGTCAAGAATGTAGCGATCTTCGCGGTGGGCGCGGAGACCGAGCTCGCGCCGGTGGAGTCGCCCAAGGGCGAGCGCAAGAGCAGCGGCGATGTAGGGCAGGCCATCGGGGAGGTTCCGAAGGTAACCGGGGCGTTCTTCTTCGCGCCACAGCGTTTTCGTAGTTTCGAGATCGCGACGGCCCATCCCATCATCAGGTGGACTCCCCAAACCGCGGCTGACTACATTGCTGAGTTCAGCATTGGCACGGGCGGTCTGACCGGCGGAGGGATATGGGGCGGGCGACCGTGGAGGGGGTTCATGGCGCAGGTCGGGGGGGGGGGGGGGGCGGCGGTTTGACGCCTGCTGGGTACTGGAGACGCTACTGGGTGGCCCCAAATGTGTTACCTGGGCAGTTCGTGGGAGACCCCCCTTGCACTGGGCCGCTGCCGATCATGTCGCACTCGGGCGTGGTCGGGCTCAAGGCTTCAAGAGACCGCCCAAGGCGCAGGCGTGGGCAGTCGAAGACTGGGCCCAGCTGATGGGTCTACCCTGGCAGGCGTCGCGCTGGCAGGTCCTCGCGGGCTATTGCAGTTTTAAATTCAGATGCGCGAAGAGCGCGACGTGGCTATCGGGGGGAGGCGCGCGCTCAAGCGGGCGTCGAGAATTGCGGCCAGGCGCCTGGGCGCCCAGATCCAGCGAGGCTTGCTCGCTCGTAAGAGCGCCGAGCCCGGGTCGCAGAGGAGATGGTGGCGGTCGAGGCCGGTCGCCCGCGACAGGCGGAGCGCCATCTTCGCGTCGGCGTTCGAGAAGAAGCGCAGGGAGGCGGTGCAGACCAGGGCGCGCCAACAGGCGCGGCCGCCGAGGGCGGCGGGGGAGTCGCTGAAGGGCCCAGTGCAGCGCCGGCCCCAGCTGCGCCAGTTCGGGCCAACGGCAACGCGGGATGGGCGCGGAGCCCAGGGGCGCCCGCGAAAGAGTTGCAAGCGAGCCGCGAGGGCGAGAGCGACTTGTTCATCCGCGAGCCGCTTCGACGCCAGGTCGGAAGCGGGTAGCGAGTGCAGAGCCGTTCCAGGTCGGGGCGGCCGTGGGCGGCGAGCCGGCGTCGGGCGCGCCGCGGCAGGCAGGTGCTGGAGCAGCATCTCGCGTTTCAGGACAGTCGGCGGACGCCCAGGTCGCGCCGGGCGCAGCGGCTGCAGCCCCGAGCGCAGGAGGGACTGGGGGATCAGGCGACATGTCGGACCGCAGCGGTGGCCGCTGGCAGCAAGGTGGACAGGCATTTCCGACGTGGTCAAGGGCCGGATCTACCAGGAAGTCTCGACGTTGGCGAGCGCCGCGGATTTGCTCGGCGATGGGGGGATGCCGCAGGACCAGCTACAGGGCGCCACGAAGGCGCTGGCGGAGATGAGCTGCGTTGACCTCGCGGAGGTGCCCCCCCTTCCCCGGAGGTTTTCAAGCGCGTGGTGTTCGGGCTTGGCCTGGCGGCTGGGCTCGCAGTGGATCTCGCCGCCGGATGGGGCTTGTCTGACGAGGGGCAACGTCAATGGTGCGTGGATGAGTTGGGCGAGGATGGCCCGCTGCTTGCCGCGGCATCGCCCCCCCGCTTTATCTTCAGGTTGGTCCGAGGGCTGAACAATTGCAGGCGGGGTCCAGAGGTTGCGGCGCAGGAGGCGCTGGATGGCGAGACCCACCTCGAGTTCTCCACGCAGGTGCGCGAGCGAAGGTATCAGCGAGGTGCTCTCCTTCTTCGCGACCACCCGTGGTCGGCTTCATCGTGGGGTCGGCCGTGGTGTGTATGATATGCGAGTCCCATGTGCTGGTTCGGACTCAGTTTCGCGCCTCGTCGACCCGATGGGCGGATGGCGTCTGTCTGCAAGGAGTCTTTCTGGATGGCGAACTCGATGGTCTTGGCCGGGATCCTGGAGGGCGAGTGCCAATGTCCTCTGGAAGACGGATATCCATGCCGACACGCAGTCCTCATCGGAGATTAGCGGTTACGAGCAGCACAGAAGTATCCCAAACGACTGGTTGGGGCTATCTTGGCGGGATTTCGCGATGAGTTTTGGTTCCGCAAGTCGCTGAGTGATCTAGCTGCTGGAGTTGCTGCCGGGCCTTCGCCGCGCGAGGAGGACGTCGATCAGGGGGCCGAGGCCTGCGTGGACGACGCGCGCGGCGGCTTTGTGGGCTCGTAGCGCTCAGCGGAGGCCAGGCGTGAGGAGTTGGAGCGGCGCGGGGGTCGAAACGTTTGAACCGAAGTTCTTGGGCGCGAGATGGAGTTGGAAGGAGGTCGACCACTTCGGGATCAAGAACGACCGCTGTGCCAATCGAGGCTTGCGGCAAGGGGCGTGAAGGTGCGACGGCGCGCCGAAGGTCTGCCGCCGCCCGCGAAGGGCCCGTTCTCGGGCGCGCCGCCCCTGGAAGCGTTCATGGCGCTCGTTGCGTTGCAACGTTTGCCAGCAGGGCGCGCGGGCAGTGCCGCCGCGCATCGCCGAAGGAAGTTGTTTACCGGATCTGCGACGTGAGCCGCGCGCGCTTCTGCGGCAAGGCAAAGCGGCGCATTTGGGTGGGGGGTCCGCCCGAAGAGCGCGAAGACGAAGTGGGGTCGATAGTGGGGCTTCGCAGCCGTACTTTGCGCGGTGCAGTGCAAGTCGCGCGGGGCACACCGACTACGTCGTGCTGCTGAAGCACAGGAATTTTGAGCAGGGCCGGTCGAATCCGACTATCTCGTGGTATCCAGATCGAGACATTATTCTGGGAGTTTATGGAGACGGTGCGCAGTTTTGATGTTTGCCGCTGCTGAGTCGTCTTTCGGCAATCTTTGCACCGAGCGTGACTGCATTGTGACTTGGAAGTCGTCTTCAGCTTCGGAAGTTGTTCAGAGCGCCGCCAATGCCAATCGCGCTGTGGTTTGTGGTCCGACCTCGGGCGAGGCGCGAATTGAGGCTGATGTCAGGCGCGTGGGCATGGCCACTCGGGACTTGAACCTGGGCGACGCTATAACTGTGCAGGTGCGCGCGGAAGCTGATCAGTCACCGCGCCCCAGCGAGAAGGGCGATGCAGTGCGCAGGTCTGTTGTCATGCGAGGTGCTAATCTTAGTCGAGATCGGCCCGACCTGAGTTTCGCGATTGCGATGCTGGCCAAGAAGATGAAGACCCCGGCGGGATCAGGCATGTTGGAGCCAAGACGGCTTGGCAAATACTTCGGTTGTGCCCGATCTGGGAGTTGTAAGTGCAAGTTGCATCCACTTCCCGATCGTGTTGCATTATATGTTGATGCTGACTTCGTTGGCGAAGCGACGGCCTGGAAGTCAATGGCAGGTGTGATGTTCATGTTGGGTTCTCACCTTCTCAAGCATGCTTCGACGAGTCACGCTGGACTTGCTCTTTCGAATGGAGAGTGTGCGTGCCGTGCCATGCGGACGGGAGCGACTCACGCGCTCGGTCTGCAATCCATGTTCCATGACCTTGTCGCCGTGGAGTTGCGTGGTGACATCGTTGCTGCAGACCGTTTTGCAAACCGACGAGGCCCCGGCATGGCCAGGCATTTAGATGCCATATTCTTCCTGTTCCGGGGCCAGGTGAAGGCGAACGAGACCGTTATCGAGAATATACTGGGCAACGTGAACCTTGCAGATATCTTCGCAAGCCCCCCGGGCTAGACGCAGGCGAGACAGCGTAGCGACAATTTGATTGTCTCATTGTCGAGGCAAGTCGGTTGCATTTTTTGTTCTCGGTCGCCTGCGAGTTCGGCGCGAGGTCGAGCATGTTTGAAGTGCGGGCCTCGATTGTGATTGCGTTCGTGCTGGCTGCGAAGTTCGGCCAGACGGCGAATTGTTTGGATTGCCGACCTGGCCGGCGACGAAGTGAACACCTGCGCGGCGGATTAGGTCTTAGGCATTCTCCTCTCGCCGGCACGCAGCGTCCGATAGGGGCTGGGAATCTCCCTCGGTAACATCTTGTGTAGGAGCCGAGGAGGCGCCCATAAAATCCCAAAGGCGCCTGAATAAGCTGCACAAGGGGCGTCAGAGGCTGTCCAAAGGGTTCCGGGGGTTCTCCCAGAGGTTAAGGGGCCTCTCCCAAAGATCGTGGGTTTTCCTTCGTGCTGATACCTAGACGCAAGGCGTGGGCACGGCGAGTGCGACAGCGATGTGCCCTCAGGGTTGCAGATGTTGAAATGCATTGAAAAAATGTGTCCTGAAGACTTCCTCGGGCGGGAACATCGGACCCCGTGTGCAAAATGCAGAAAGCAACAACACAGGCATCTCCCAGTAAAGGGGGAACTATCATGATAGATGCGCGTTGCATTTAAAATCGTACTGAGTCATGAAAAAGCCAAGGTGGCGAGAACGAAAACAAGCCCTGTTTCGAATGATCACCTTGAGGGCGAGAGGGAACGGCTTCCCCTGGAAACCCCTCGATATTTTTCCGGACTTCGAGACCTCTGATGTCCCCCCTGCAGGTTCTTAAATCCTTTCCTCCACCTCTTCGACCTTGTCGTCGCGGGGCCTCCCAAGGCGGCCCAGGCGGTGGCATTTGAGAGGGAGAGAGGGAAAGAGAGGGAGCGGTGGTTACAGCAGGGCCCTCTCATCGCTTAGGCCTTCGTCGTCCTTTTCCTTTTTTTTCTCTCCTGTTTTCTCTCCACCTTGCGCTGCGCAAAACGTCCAACACGTCCTCTTCCGTCCCTCACCACCTCCACCCCCCTCGCTCTCGAAGGAACACTTGGAGGACGAGAAGAGGTGGCTCGCGCACGTGAGTACAATGAACCTCGAAGCAGAGTCCACGGCGAGTCAGGCCTGTGGCGCTACCGGCATGTGAGGGAGAGGGGAGGGAGGAGAGGGCAGAACGATATCGACGAGCCGGGCGCCAGAGCGACGCATCTCTTTCATGAAGGAAAGAAACACACAGACACAATTAATCGCCGACTCGCAGGAACATATAGGAAAATATGGGAAGTGGGGGGAGAGACAAAAACCAAGAAAATATAGGAAAATATGGGGCATCTTGTTATTTGTGTGTATTTATTTGTGTGTCCCAGGGCCCCTTCACTCTTCCATCAGCTGTCGGTGGCCATCCGGAGGGCGCGCGCCCGCGCCGTACTCCGGTCCGGCTGCCCGTGGAGGAGGTCTCTGCTGGGGGAGCGGCCGCGGCGGCCCGGGACGTCCCCGCCGCGAAGGATGAGGAGGATGAGAGCTTGTTGCAAGCGCCCTCATTCTGCAGACGTGAATTCGTTTAGTGCCTCAGAAGACTCGTTGGGTTGGGAAGGGTCGCGTGGTTGATGATCTGGTCGATTGCACTTCTCTTGATTGGTTGTCCTTCATCGGCTGATTATTACCAGGAGGGAAAAACACAGACACAATTGATCGTCGATCCCCAGAAAATATGGGGAAATCTGGGAAGGGGGGGGGAGAAAAAACCCGGAAAATTTAAAACAAGATTGAGACATCTGCTATTTGTGTGTATTCACTTGTGTGTCCCAGGGCCCCTTCAGACTAGGATGTTGGGATGGCCGGAGTACGGGAGTTGATTTTCGTCGGGGGTCGACTGGCTCACGCGAGCGTTCGCGCGCACGTGTCGGGCCCGCTGCGCTCAAACAGCCCAGCAGGGGATCGGGGCTTCCTCCTTTTCCGCCCCTTCCTCCTCCTCTTCATCTTCCTCTTCTTCCTCGTTTTTCTCCTCCTCCTCCTCGTCCTCCTCCTCTTTTCCTCCTCTTCTCCGTGTCTGAGCAATCTTTCGCGCGCGGCGCAAGGCCCGCGGCGCAGAGGTTGCCACCCGGGGGCCCCACCAGTCGTCGTCGCCCCCCTTTGCTCTTCCCCTGGCCAGTGCTCGCGTCGGGAGCTCCCTTCCCACCAGTTGGGAAGGTGCGCCTTCCCAGTCGAATCGCATGGTGAGATTTTGGAATGTCGCGTGCGCGACGATAATCTGTGGGGGTGCCGTTGATGCTGCTGCTGCACTGAGGGTTTCGCGGCCCCCCTCTCCATGCCCCGAAGTTGCTCTTGCCGCAGTTTCACTCCCCCATTTTGTTATTCCTCGTTTTTTCCTCCCCGCCCGGGGGCGCGAGACTAATTTCGTGGCGCGGCCCTCCCCATGTCCAGGTCAGTGGCCGTTCGCGCGCTGATTCGTAGAGGCTTCAAGGCCGAGGCTGGCTGGAGTAGCCGCCCCGGACCCGCAGTGCGGTCTTCCTGTCGGGGATTTATCGTCGATCCATCAGCCCTATGGTTGCTCGGCACTGCGCTGCTTTGCATCGTGACGCGGCCCGTCCGATTCGATTCCCCTCACTCCCTCCCCGCCTTCCTTCGCTCCCTCCCCCCCTCGTTTTCCGCTTCCCTCTTCCCCACTCTTTCCTCCCTTTGTCTTGTCATACCGCGCATGCGTTACCGACGTCAAATCCTATTTCATATGTTTCATTCATACACATCTACGCATGTATATATATATATATATATCTATATATGTATGTATGTATGGATGTGACCATCTATATATATATATATATATATATATATATATATATATATATATATATGTACATATAGAGTAGACACATGTGTAAACACACACGCATACACATATATATATATATATATAATATATGTATATATATATCTGTGTATATATATGTATATATATATATATATATATATATATATGGTCAGCCCCCCCCCAGGACCCCGTGTTCACCCATCGCTGTGATTTCTCTCTGTTTCGCTCTCTTTCCAATTGCTCCTCCTCCTCCTCCTCCTGCTCCTCATCCTGCTCCTTTCCTCTTCCAAATCTGAAAGCGAAGAGGAAGAGGATGAGGAGGAGGAGGAGGACCAGGAGGTTGAGGATTAGGATGAGGAGGAAACCATGCTATTCACAGTTGTTTTTTTGTTTTTCTTTTTTTGGTCAGGGAAGCCACCAAACACTGCTATTCACATGTTTTTTTTGGTTTTCCAGAGATCCACAAACATGGCCAGGAGGTGCGAACAGCAGTGTTCGGCAGGATCGTGGCCACCAAACCATGCTATTCACAGTTTTTTTTTTGTTGTTTTTTGTTTTTTTTGGTCAGGGATACCACCAAACCCTGCTATTCACAATTTTTTTTTTGGTTTTCAGGAGGTTCAAAGATCTCTGGGGCACGAAAATGTTCCGGACCTCCTGAAAACAAGCAAAGAACAACAAAACATGAGAATAGCAGGGTGTGGCGGTATCCCTGACCAAAAAAACAAAAAAAACATGTGAATAGCATGGTTTGGTGGCCACGATCCTGCCGAACACTGCTGTTCGCACCTCCTGGCCATGTTTGTGGATCTCTGGAAAACAAAAAAACATGTAAATAGCAGTGTTTGGTGGCTTCCCTGACCAAAAAACAAAAAAACACCTGTGAATAGCATGGTTTCCTCCTCATCCTAATCCTCAACCTCCTGGTCCTCCTCCTCCTCCTCATCCTCTTCCTCTTCGTTTTCATATTTGGAGGAGGAAAGGAGTAGGATGATGAGGAGGAGGAGGAGGAGCAACGGAAAGAGAGCGAAACAGAGAGAAATCACAGCGATGGGTGCACACGGGGGGGGGGTTGGGCAAGGGCTCCGAAGTAGGGTCGGCGACGACGACGCGACGACGGTCACGACTGCGACAGATCGAGATGGTTATTCACGGTGAACGCGCGCGCGTGCCAATGTAGTGTCTGTGGGTTTTCGCTGTCGGCATCGCTACGCGTGCATGTGCTTTGTATACGTGTCAAGCACGCTGGTGGCCCGTTTCCCTTGAGCAATGCTAGCGTTTATTCACCAATGTGCATGTGATGTTATTGCGTTTGCGATGTCTGCCCCAACGCTTGTGGCATCCTAGAAGCTGGACCCCCTTTTCGCTTACGAGACACACACACACACGCACACTTGTTTATCCAATGATCTGCGTTAAGATTGAGTTGCTGCTTCGTGCTGACATTTCTCGTTGGTTGGATGTTGCGTGTTGCCCTGCCGTGTTTCGTTGCTTCTAATCGGAGCCGCCTAGGACCGTCTTGGAGGCCTCTCGGGTCGTCTTGGAGCGGTCTCCGAAGCTCCTTGCGCCGTCTTGGCGTGGTCTGGCGGAAGGGGGGCGGTGGCCTCGCCGGTCGTCTCGGGATTCCTCGGAAGGGGCATCCAAAACAGGATGCCCCTCTCGCCTTCACTGGGCCTGGCCCCAGCAGCGGTCCTTTGAGTTGTGCTCGTTTTCTCGCCTTGCAACCGAATTCGGCATTAGCGGCGGCAGCCAGCCTACTGGTCGCCGAAGCACCCGTCACGGATGCTCCCCCGAGCCTTCTTCGCGAGCTCGAAGTACTTCTCTCGCTGCGCGACCGTGGCCAGAGCGATGAAGCGGCTCTTCTCCGACAAGAGGTTGTTGTATTTAGCCTGACAATTCGGAGAAGAACGCTTGACCTTGGATGGGGGCGCACATTGAAGGCCGACGGACTTGGCCACGCCCTCCCAGGAACGCGCCTGGGCGAGCGCCGAAGTTCGTCGGCGTTCAACGGCGTAGTTGTTCCAAAGCCAAGCCTGCTTCTCAGAAAGGGCTTGCTCAAGGCGCTTGCGCTCCTTCGCCCCCTCCTGCGTGGCCGCGGCCGCGCCCTCCGCCTTGCCCTGGGCTGTGGCCTTCTGCGCCTGCCGCCTTTTTCGGCGAGGCGCCGAAAGGAATGCGAGCGGGGCAAGAGCTGGCCCGCTGGGAAATCCGCTTCCGAGCGGTCGCGTGGAGGACCTCCAAGAGGCCCAACCACGTCCCTCGCAGGCAGTTTTTTTTTTTTTTTTTTTTTTTTTTTTTTTTTTTTTTTTTTTTTTTTTTTTTTTTTTTTTTTTTTTTTTTTTTTTTTTTTTTTTTTTTTTTTTTCTTTTTTTTTTTTTTCTTCTTTTTTTCTTTTTTTATATATATATATAGATATATATAAATGCATATCATTATTATTGTTGTTGTTGTTATTATTATTATTAGTATTAATGTCATTATTAATTATTATTATTATCATCATTATTATTTTTAAATACATATATATATATGTATACATCTGTGATTTGTGATTCTTATTTTCCTCTTCTTCTTCTACTTCTCAAAAGCTCGCTTGCTGGTTGTCTAGAAGGCCAGCCCTTGCTCGCTTCCTTCAGGCGCGCCGCCGTGCCTCAAGCGCGCCGTTTCCTCGACCAGGTGCTCCAGCTTGTCGTTCTTGCTCTTGGCCTTCTGGAAAGCCTTCTTGTTGTTCTCGGCTGCGCGCTGGTTGTTCTCGGCTGCGCGCTGGGTGGGGGTTTTGTTGTGCGTTGTATTGTTGTTGGTGGTGTTGCTGTTGTTTGGTGGTGTGTGTGTGTTTAATGTTGTGGTTGCGCTATTGCGCGTTGCTAATGGCTTACGGTTGTCGTCCGTTGGTGGCGTGGTGTATTGGGCGGTACAACGTCGTTGTTCGCCTGTTACGTTGCTGTGGCTATGCGCCTAAGGGCCAAGGAAGTGTTTATGTCCACCCCGACACCTGGGCCACGAAGGCATCGCGACGCATGTTGAAAAAGGTCCTTGCGCTGGCGCTTGACCCGTTGAGCGAGGGCGGCCTTCTCGCCCCGCAAAGCTGCGCATGTCTCGTGGTATTTCCGCAGGTGGTTCTGCGCAGCCTCCCTCAGGTACTGCTTGACCCACGGCTTGGCGATCCAGTTATTCAAGGACTTGGCGCGCTTACGATGACGACACCTGTCGGTTTTAGTCCTCACGGCCTTCGCTGACAGCTGGCATGGCGTGCTGTGGCGCCAGCGCTGGGGAGAGAAATAGCAAACAGGAAACAACCACTCGATTCATAACAAACTACGGATGGTTGCACCCAGTTCGGCTGAGGCGGAGGAGGGGAAGGAATTTGAGGATGAGGAGGCGGACAAGGAAACTGAGGAGGGAGGAGGGTGAGGGGTAGGAGGAGGATGAGAAAGAAGAGGATGAAGGAGGAGGAGTAGGATGAGGAGGAGGAGGACGAGCAGGATGATGAGGATGAGGAGGGTGAGAATGGAAAGGGTAAATAAGAATATGAGGGTGAGGAGGATCAGGAGGATGAGGAAGATGATGATGAATAAGATGATGCGGATGATGAGGAAGATGAGGAAGATCAGGGCGCGGAGTAAGAAGAGGATGATCATGATAAGAACGATGATGATTCTGATGAAAATGAAGAAGATGATGAGGAGGACGAGGAGGAGGACGAGGATGATGATCATCGGAGTTATCGCGGGGCGGGGTGCTGGGGGGGCTGAGCTTATATATATATACACATACATATTCTTGTTTCGCCTCCCCCAGAAAAAGGAATCGATCCCGGGCGTCCGGGGTGCCTAGGCGCCCTTTTCGAGCTGTTCGCGAGAGATTTCTGGGCGCGGCCGCGCAAGGCGGGTTGGCAGAGGCCGCCAACAAGCGCCAGGGACGTCTCCAGATGCGCCGAACGAGCCTCTAACATGCTTTCGCGAGGTTTTCCAGAAACTCGCCTTGGAGTAGCCTCCGCGAAAAGAAATGAGGAAGTCGGGGAAGTTGTCGCGGGGCAATTGACGATAACTAGGAAGATGATGAGGAGGAGGAAAAGGAAAAGGACACATGAGGGAAGGAAAAGGAACGTCAATCTGAAAACGGTGATGGTGAACACTACAACTCAAAATGATGGCTGTTTTGATTTTTGTACCTCTCTTGCATGATGCCTGCATGCTGGACGTGAGCATCGCGAGAGCCGCCAATGCAGTCGTGAGTATATGTGTGCATATCTTTAGATGTATTCGCCACGTCGCTGAGTGAGTTGGACTGAGTCCGCGGTCCTTCGAAACAAAAAACCCTCCGCCTGCGGAGGACAATGAAAAAAGGGGGGAGGAGGAGGAGGAAACGGAGGATGAGGACGAGGAGGAAACGGAGAGGGAGCAAAAGGAGGAGCAGGAGGAGGAGGAGGAGGAGGAGGCCCCCCCTCCCGTTTCTCCTCCCCTCCCCTCCCTCCCCGCCCCGCTCCCCGCGCGCGCCCCCCCGAGGCCTGGGCCACGTCGCAGACGTGGGTCGACGCCGAGGCTTTCGACGAGGCGGGCGCGAGCCCCCCCCTGGAGCGCGCGGGGCCGCACCAGGCAACGCGCGGGGGTTGCAGCAGGCATAATTTCGGGGGTGGCAAAGAGGGGAGTGATGACTGGGGGGGTTGGATATCATGGCGTGGGTCATGATATCTCCCCAGATTTCATGGCGCCCCGTCTTATTTCATGACGTCCCTGGCCCGCCCGCTGGGCCGCACACATGCCGCCGGTCATGATTTGCACCCCCCCCTGCACCCCCCCTCTTGGACGCCCCCCCTCTTGGCCGCTCCCTATAATTGGGGAAACGAGCAATGACATAAACATATAGACTCGGAGGTCCGCGCGGATTTCTCGCATCGGCGCTGGAGCCCCCCGGTGGCGCCTCCGGCGCCGCCCCTGGCGAGCTCCGCGCGCCAAAGGGGGGGGGTCCAGCGCCGATCCAAGACGTCTGCGTGGACCTCCAAGTTTTTATGTTGATGTCATGTTTCGCTCCCCTAATAGCGGGTTCATCAGTCGCTGCCACGGCCGAGTTTAGCTTGTAAATCGTAGGAGGTGGGTTGCGACTGCCCCGAGTGGCTCAGAGGGGGCGACTGATCTGGGTTCAGTGGGCTCCACCAGATAGGCGGAGTCATCGATCCCCCCGAAGCCAGTTGGCGTTTGTAGCCCACTTAAGCGCTAGGCAAGGCCAGATGTAACCCACCTTGGCATCCACAAATACCCCCCATCCCCCTGAGCACTCTGCAACCCCCGCCCAGATCCCACCGATCCCCACCTCCGCGAGCTGGGTCCGAGACCGCGGATCCAGACCCCGCGTCGTGGTCGCCTTCGCCGCCTTGAGGAGGAGCATGGCTTTTTTTCAGTGCAAGCGCTTTTGTGCGAGCTCGGCCCCTGGGTCCCCACCCTCGAGCCCCAGGAGCATCAGAACGGATCGGGGGGGGGGAATCTTGGCACCGAGGAGAGGGTCGGGACCTCTGGGGGCCGAGGACGGAACACGTCATCTCGGGGGATTTCCGTGTCCGCGGAGGCATCCTGGTGGATGCCTCCTTGGTCTCCTGGTGGTCCCCGGAGCTCGCCAGAGGGGTTTCCGTGAGGACGCTGGGCGGCCACAGCGAAGATGCCAGGCACCGTGGCCCTCGGGCCTCGAGGACCGAAGAGCAGGGAAGAGGGCGGGGGGGGGGCCGAGGGGAAGTCGGGAGGCCCCTAGTGGGCCCTGGAAACGACCGGGCCGTTCTTTTACCGGTTCCGTTTTGCCGTTTGTTTTCCCGTTCCGACGCCGTTTTTTACCGGTTCCGTCGCCGTTTTCTGACCCGTTCCGCCTCCGGTTCCAATCCTGGAGCCGTTTGTTTTGCCGTTTCCGGTCGCCGTTCTTTTGCCGTTTCCATTCTCAAGGGACATTTTTTTTTGAAAACGATGAAAAAGTGGGCCTGCCGTTTCCGGGGCCCACAGGGGAGGCCGACTCTCGGAAACTGGAGCAGATACATTACCAGTGGCGGGCTGCTGCTCAATCCTGGGAAGTCTTGAGGGTCGGGGACGACGTCGGGGTGGGTGTGGTGTATACTAGTTTCCCAGTTTTCCCGTGGAAGCAACGAAATAATGTATGCACCAGGATGCCGTATACACCATAATCCGTTTTCTTGTGCGAATCTCAGTGCGGGACTGGAAAAGGCATCGGTGTATAAAGTTCGGTTCCTTACACTCTATGCCCAAGGTGCCTTGTGGTGATCGTTCTCTTATTCGCTGTTTTGCCGATCGGCGCGGGCCCTCGCAGCCCCCCCCCTCGCCCGCTCCATGGAGCAGATCTTGGTTCTTTTTGGCGCCTGATTCAAGCAGGTGGAGTTTCCCCCGTAGGACGCACTGCTGCAAACAGTTGCGCTCAGTGGTCCGGAGCCAGACCCCCCCTCCCCCCCCTCGCCCTTCCTCTCAATGTCGAAACGCCGAATCAGAAAACGTTCACGCGTTCGAAACAGGACGGAAACGCACTACATGTGTCTGAAATATCACCTTCGCTGGGATTGAATTGTTGTCCGCGAGCGCCCCGAATTGGGGGGGTCGTCTAAGACAGCAGTCGTTTAGAACATGTGTCGTTACATGGCGTGGTTCGCTTTCGTGTTTCAAAAGCAGTCAGATCTCAACAAATGCAGCTGCGCCGAATGGCCCCGCCCGCGGGTTTGAGCACGCCAGATCAGGCACACTTTCGCGCTGTCCATCGAAGGGGGATGAGTATTGTGGAGGCCCATGCCAAGAAACACCCTGCTTGCCTCCGGGGTGCCCTGAGTTTCTTGGGTTTCGATGGTTTTGCGATAGAGAGTGACGTTCCAATCAAAAATCAATGGAAGTCCTGGGGTCTCAGGGTTGGGTTTCTTGTGGAAGGTTTCTTGTGGACCGGCCTCCACCTGTAACGAGGAGGAGTCGTCGAGGGGGGGGTCACGCCTGCTGCCGCCGAGGCGCTCTCGAGCTCCTGGAGGGTGGTGCTCGTGACGCTGGCGCTGCTCACCGTGGCGGCCCTGGCCTACACCCTGGAGCCGAGATGTCTGTTCCGCATTGTCGAGAGGGGTAGGAGAAGGAGGAGGAGGAGGAGGAGGAGGAGGAGGAGGAACGATGAGGACGTGGCCTGAGGTCCCCGCCCTTGCATTTCGGGATCGTAAATCTGGGCGGTTTGCTCTGACGCCTCTGCAGAAAATGCCCCCTTGTCCTTCACGTTCTGGCCCTCCCGACTTAGGTCCCCTCCCAAAGGGTTACCCATCGGTCGTTGGAAGTAGGTACTTTCGGATTTTCATTTTCAAATCTACTTTATGCACCTTCCTACTGCAATGATCGAGTGGCTTCGCCTTTTCCGTCCTCGCAAGGGGGCGGACGGAACCCAATCTACTTTCAACGCCTTCCTACTTGATGTTTCTACATACTTCTTCCGACCTATGGGTAGGGGTTCTTTTTCGGTTAATCTCCGCAGGCTGTGCTCGAAGCCCAGACCTCCCACGTTTTGAGTCAGCTCTCAGACCCGCATCCGTCCGAGCGCTTTCTCTCGACTATTCGGCCTCTGTGGAGCCCGTGCTTCCTCGCCGGGGCCAGCAAAGGCGGGTTCCTGGGGCGGGAGATTCCTTAGGCCTCCTAGCTGGGGTCCGAGTAGCTGTGGTCGTAGGACCGCGTCACATCGCCGATGCGTCAACGATGCGGCTCGATGTGGTGCCCGTGTTTCCCCACGCTTGCGTCGCCGATGCATCGCCGACGCGTCGCAGATGCATCGGCGATGAATGGGCGATGCCGCACGAACCTTCAATCCCATCTACTCGGACCCAATCTAGGAGGCCTCGAGAGACTGGCCCCGGGGCAGGGGTGTGGGCTTCTTGGAGCCGCGCATGGGAGCAGAAATCCTGCCCGTTGACGTTGGGGGAGGTGTTTCCGCATTGTCTCGTGGGAGGGGGGAGACATACATATATATATATATAGATATATACATACATACATACATACATATAAATATATTTCAGAGAACGGGGGCTGAACCGAACGGTCTTGCACTGTCCTCGGGTGCGTGGCTGAAGTGGAATTCCGCGATGCGGATTATTCTTGTTGTTGTTGTTGCTGTTGTTGTTGTTGTTGTTGTTGTTGTTGTTGTTGTTATTCGTTGTTGTCGTCGTCCCGCCCGCGACCCGCCCCGCGACCCACCCGCGATGCACCCCGCGACCCACCCGCGACCCCCCCGCGACCCACCCCGCGAGCCACCCGCGACCCACCCGCGGACCCGCCCGCGACCCACCCCGAGACCCCCCCGGGGACCCACCGGCGACCCACCCGCGACCCACCCGCGACCCACCCCGCGACCCACCCGCGACCCACCCGCGATGCACCCGCGACCCACCCGCGACCCACCCCGCGGCCCACCCAAAATGTTCGGCGCCTGCGGCGGGTTTCTTTTGCATTCGCTCCAGGTGGAAAACCTGCGATCCACCCGCGACCCAAACCGCGCCCGCGACCAACCCGCGACCCACTGCGACCCACCCGCGACACACCCGCGACCCACCCCGCGACACACCCAAAATTTTCGGCGCCTGCGGCAGGTTTCTTTTGCATTCGCTCCAGGCGGAGAACCTGCGACCCACCCGCGACCCGAACCGCGTTCAATGTACAATCAAAATGTTCGGCGCCTGCGGCGGGCTGTTTTTGAATTTTCTCAGGTGGAGGTGGAGAGCCCGCGACCACCCGCGACCCAAACTACGTTCACTGAACAAGCCAAAGTTTCTGCGCTTGCGGCGGGTTTCTTTTGCATTCGCTCCAGGTGGAAAACCTGCGACCCAAACCGCGTTCAATGTACAAATCAACATTTTCTGCGCCTGCGGCGTGCTGTTTTGAAATTCTTTCCAGGTGGAGGTGGTGAGCCCGCGACCCACCCGCGACCCAAACTACGTTCACTGAACAAACCAGAAATTCGGCGCCTGCGGCGGGCTGTTTTTGCATTCGTTCCGGGCGGCCCACCAGCGAGCCCCGCCGCGCTGAATTTGTCAGAGAACGCACACACACATACATATATATATATGTATATATATATATATACATATGTATGTATATATATATATATACAGATACAAATACATATAAACACACACGTAGCACCCCGCAACTTCGGATAAGAGTGAGGGGGCGGGCGCGGGCGACGCGGGCGCCGAGCCGGCGGACCTCGTGGCCCTCACTTTCCCTGTCGATATATATATATATATATATGTATATATGCATATATATATATATAGATATATGTATGTATGTATGTATGTATGTATGTATGGATGGATGGATGGATGGATGGATGGATGGATGGATGGATGTATGGATGTATGGATGTATGGATGTATGTATGTATGTATGTATGTACGTATGTATGTATGTATGTATGTGTGTATGCGTTCTCTGACAAGTTCAGCGCGGGTGGGGATCGCTGGTGGGCCACCCGGAACGCATGCGAAAACAGCCCGCCGCAGGCGCCGAATTTCTGGTTTGTCCAGTGAACGTAGTTTGGGTCGCGGGTGGGTCGCGGGCTCTCCACCTCCACCTGGAAGGAATTCAATTTCAGCCCGCCGCAGACGCCGCAAATTTTGATTTGTACACTGAACGCGGTTTGGGTCCCAGGTTTTCCACCTGGAACGAATGCAAAAGAAACCCGCCGCAAGCGCAGAAATTTTGGCTTGTTCAGTGAACGTAGTTTGGGTCGCGGGTGGGTCGCGGGCTCTCCACCTCCACCTGGGAAGAATTCAAAAACAGCCCGCCGCAGGCGCCGAATATTTTGATTTGTACATTGAACGCGGTTTGGGTCGCGGGTGGGTCGCAGGTTCTCCACCTGGAGCGAATGCAAAAGGAACCCGTCGCAGGCGCCGAAAATTTTGGGTGGGTCGCGGGGTGGGTCGCGGGTGGGTCGCGGGTGGGTCGCGATGGGTCGCGGGTGCGTCGCGGGCGCGGTTTGGGTCGCGGGTGGGTCGCAGGTTCTCCACCTGGAGCGAATGCAAAAGAAACCCGCCGCAGGCGCCGAACATTTTGGACGGTCGCAGGGTGGGTCGCGGGTGGGTCGCGGGTGTGTCGCGGGTGGGTCGCGGGTGGGTCGCGGGTGGGTCGCCGGTGGGTCGCGGGTGGGTCGCGGGCGGGTCGCGTGGTGGGTCGCGGGCGGGTCGCGGGGCGGGTCGCGGGCGGGTCGGGGGTAGGTCGCGGTTGGGTCGCGGGGTGGGTCGCGGGTGGGTCGCGGGGTGGGTCGCGGGTGGGTCGCAGGTGGGTCGCGGGGTGGATCGCGGGTGGGTCGCGGGGCGTGTCGCGGGCGGGACGGCGAAAACAACAACAAACAACATCAGCAACAACACCAACAACAACAATAATCCGAATCGCGGCATTCCGCGGTTTCGCAGGCTGGGCCCCTGGGCCTCGATCCCAGGGATGCGGAGAGTCGTTTCGCGGGTGCCCCGCGCGGAACGCATCCGTGCGACCGTGTGCGCCCTGGGATCCAGGCCGCGGGGGTGTGGATATGGAGACTCTCGCCGCTCAGGAATGTCGGGTCTGGGGCCATCCAGAAGCGACAGCTCGGGACGGAGTGTGGGTCCCCAGGGAGTTGCCGAGAGATCCAAGCCAGCGTTGTTGGAATCAGTAAGGCGTCGGTGGTCTGGCAATGATGACTCGTCTTTCTGAGGATGAGGATGGCGGAGGATGATGAACTTATGATGTTTCCCAGTCCTCCTGTGAACTGGGTCCTCGTTTGGAATATGCAGCGCCTTGCGTCTTCTCCCTCTCCCTCATCTCCTTTCCTTCCTCACCCAGCTGTCCTGGTGCCTTGGCCACCGTCTTGGGGCCCCCTTCGGCCGTCTTGGCGCTCTCTTGGGCCGTTCTGTGGCCCTCTTGACCTCAAGACGTCCAATCTTGGGCCGTCTTGGAGCCATCGTGGGCCGTCTTGGAGGCATCTTGGCCTCGGGAGGGATACAAGTATCATGATGCTGATGATGGTGCTGATGATGATGGTGGTGATGGTGATGGTGATGCTGATGCTGATGATGTTGATGGTGCTGGTGATGGTGATATATGGTGACGATGGTGACGATGATGGCTTTGATGATGGTTGAGTATCTTGGTGATGACGATGCTGATGATGATGACGATGATGACGATGGTGGTGATGGTGATGCTGCTGATGATGATGATGATGATGATGATGATGGTGGTCGTGGTGATGATGATGATGATGATGATGATGATGATGATGGTGATGGTGATGGTGATGATGATGATGATGATGATGATGATGATGCTGATGATGATGATGATGATGATGATGGTGATGGTGATGATGATGATGATGATGGTGGTCGTGGTGATGATGATGATGATGATGATGATGATGGTGACGGTGATGGTGATGGTGATGATGATGATGATGATGATGATGATGATGATGATGATGCTGATGATGATGATGATGATGATGATGATGATGATGATGATGATGATGACGATGACGATGGTGATGATGGTGATTTCGATGATGGTGGTGATGATGTTCGTTATGAGGATATCGATCATGATTGTCATGGTGATGGTAGTGTCATGATAAGGGTGGTGTACCCCCACTTGTGCAGACTTGTAGGTGCACGGTGATGGCTGCTGGGGCTGGGCTCTCTCCATTGTGATTGAGACGGCCATCCTCTGGGCATCCTGGCTGGAGTTGGGGATTGGTAGTGCGCAGTCCTCCAGGGCCATCACGCCACGGAGACGCTTGCTGCTCGAGGCTCTATCCTCCGTGGGGGCTCAGCGTCAGTTGCGGATCGTGAGGGGCAGACAGGGTATGCGTTTGGTCAGCGCGGGCCGGTACATCTGTGTGGTTAGTTGATGGCCTCGATTCGAGTTCCTGTCGGATTGACGCACAGTGTCTCTCGAGTAAGGTCCGCTCTCCGAGACGTGCTGTGCGGTTTCGAGCCCTTCACGGGGTTTTGCAAAAGTAGGCGTCTGATGTGGACTTTGTTGGGTTGTCCCGTCGTGGGAGTCTTGGAGGTTCGGTCAGTCGTTCGGTTGCTGGTGGTTGTCTGAGACGTGTGGCGATCCTCTGAAGTTTGACCGCGAGTGCGGCTGACGGTTCTGTAGTTCCGCCTGTGGAGTTTCTTTCAATCCTTTGGGTGGCCCCCCTCGGAGGACTCAACACCTCTTTTTGTGCTAGATTTGTCGCGTTGAGCAGTAGGAGAAGCCGCCCCCGCGTCCTAACTGGGGCTTTCTGTTGATTGTTATAATCGTTGCGCTGCGCGTGCGTGTCTGATGATATTAGTCTGTGGCCTCTGCGCCACAATGGCACGGCGCAAATCGTGAAGTGTGCTCTTTGGTTGTGGTAGTGTCTCTGTGTTCGGATTGTTTTGTGGTCGCGCTGTATCTGTGCCTGGGTTGGTGTTCAACTTCCACTAGATCCCAGGGCACACGCGGGTTCTCCCCGTGGGCCCAGGCGTCGTACGCGGCGATGCACCCGCAGGCGGAGGCGGAGGCGGAAATAATGGTGATGGTGATTTGGATGTCGATGTTGATGTTGAAGCTGATGATGTTGATACTGATGCTGATATTGATGCGGATGCTGCTGCTGCTGTTGATGCCGATGCTGCTAATGATGTTGATGAGGCCGGTGATGATGCTGACCATGATGATGATGCTGATGATGATGATGATGCTGCTGATGATGATAATGCTGCTGATGATGATGAGGATGAGGATGATGATGAGGGTGCTGATGATGATGTTGATGCTGATTACGGTGATGGTGATTATGCAGATGATGATGATAATGATGATGATGATGATGATGATGATGATGTTGAATGATGCTGATAATGGTATTGGTGATGATGACTATCATGATGCTGATGATGATGCTGCTGATGATGATGGTGATGATGATGATGATGATGATGAGGATGCTAGTGCTGATTACGACAGTGATGGCAATAGCGATGACGTTGCTGTTGTTGATGGTGATGATGATGATGACGGCTATGACGATGGAGAACATGATGATGATGATGATGTTGGTGCGATGATGTTAATGATGGTTAAGGATTGTTGAGGACGGTGATGATGATGATGGTGGTGAGGACGAGGATGAGGATGATGATGAGGATGAGGATGGTGATGATGATGATGATGATGATGATGATGATGATGATGATGATGATGATGATGATGATGGTGGTGATGGTGGTGGTGGTGGTGGTGATGATGATGATGATGATGATGATGATGATGATGATGATGATGAGGTGGAGGAGGGGGAGGAGGAGGAGGAGGAGGAGGAGGAGGAGGAGGTTGGGGCTACCCCTTTCTCCACCCGCCGGGCGCTCACAGCCCTCTAGGATCTCAAGATCGTGGCCGCAATCACCTTGCTGACGTTCTGCTGCGGCACGGTGCTCTCGTTCATGATGTACTGCGTGTTCCAGGAACCGCCCCTCCCCCTTCTCGGCGAAGGGCAGGCTCGAGGGAGGAAGGGCTTTGTCAGCGGCAACGCCGGCGGGGGCTATGCTCGCGGGGGGGGGACAGGCTCAGGAGGGGGACGTTTCGGGGGTTCGAGGTTGCCTGCTTACGGACGTGCTCGTCGGTTCCCGGCGGGTTTCAAGCCTCGGGGTGCCCTCAGGCAGCTGCGCCTCGCCGGGGGCCTTCTGAGGGTGCAGGGATCGTCCTGGGCGGCCGCCTGAGGCCAGAGTCATACGGCCCGAAGGTCAGGGGTCACAGTCGCGGGGGATAGACTCCTCCTCCTCCTCCTCCTCCTCCCTCCCTCCTCCTCCTCCTCCTCCTCCTCCTCCTCCTCCTCCTCCTCCTCCTCCTCCTCCTCCTCCTCCTCCTCCTCCTCCTCCTCCTCCCTCCTCCTCCTCCTCCTCCTCCTCCTCCTCCTCCTCCTCCTCCTCCTCCTCCTCTCCTCCTCATCCTCCTCCTCCTCCTCCTCTCCTCCCCTCCTCCTCCTCCTCCTCCTCCTCCTCCTCCTCCTCCTCCTCCTCCTCCTCCTCCTCCTCCTCCTCCTCCTCCTCCCCCTCCTCCTCCCCCAACTCCTCCTCCTCCTCCTCTCCTCCTCCTCCTCCTCCCCTCCTCCTCCTCCTCCTCCTCTCCCCCCCGCCTCCTCCTCCCCACCTCCTCCTCCTCCTCCTCCTCCTCCTCCTCCGCCTCCTCCTCCCCCGCCTCCCCCTCCTGCTCCTCCTCCTCCTCCTCCTCCTCACTTCTCCTCTCCCTCCTCGTCCTCCTCATCCTTCTCCTCTTGCTCCGCCTCCTGCTGTTCCTCCTCCGCCGCCTCTTCCTCCTCCTCGGGGTGGGGGGATGCGTCGACCCCCAACTCGCGCATTGGTCGACGGTAGGGGCCGGTAGCTCACCCCGCCAAGGAGAGTCGGGATTCGCCGTCGGGGGCCCATGGCCGAGCAGTCGGCGATGCATCGCCGATTCGAGTCTTGGTCGGAGGGAGGGAGGACAGGGCTTGATGGGTTTGCGTCGCGCCCCCCCTCCCCCCCCCAAGGGGTCATTTCGATTCATCAGACTCGCTTCCATGCGATCTGGATGGGTCGTGATTCCGATTCGATTCGGCTTCAGACTCCGATGTGGCGTCCTCCTCTCCAATGAGGCCTTACTACTCAGCCGATTTCGGCCGATTCGTCTTTTTCTCATTTGGCTGCCGATTTCCGCCGATCCGATGAATTTCGATTGCCGATTCGACTTATCGATTCGATTCTGGGCTCTCCTGCTCCCACCCTGCAGGCTTTGCGGATGCTTGCGTCGCAGGAGCCCGAAGGCGGGCTAGAAGCGGCAGCGCAGCTCGCCCCACAGGAGAGCACCGAAGGCATCGCCTGTAAACGACCCCTGGGACCAGCTAGAAAAGGCCGTTGGGTGCGGCAGTTCGGCCACCCCCCCAGGAAGGTTTGTGGAGGGTTGCCTTCAACCACCTTCTAGAATCCTTCCTCAGGATGGTTTTTCTGAGGGTTTCCCCCCCCAAACAATCTTCCTCAGGAGTGTTCGTTTGGATTTCCTCCAAACACCTTCCAACAGCCTTCTTCCTCGGGAGGGTGTTTGTTGAAAGGTTTCCTTCAACAACGTTCCAAAACCTTTCCAGGAGGGTTCATTCGAGGGTTTCCCCCACATGTTAAAAAAAAACCTTCCCCGGGATGATTGTTTTGGATGGTTTCCCCCAAAACCCTTACAACTATATTCCTCTGTTTTTTTTTAGGAGTTTTTTTGTTGGAAGGTTTCCTCCTAAAACCTTCCAGATGCCTGCCTCAGGAGTTGTTTTTTTCCTCCGGGGGGATCCTCACATAGTCCTTCCACAAACCTTCCAAACGCCTTCCTCCAAAAACCTCGCAACGCCTTCCTCAGGAAGGTGCTTTTCTTATGGTTCGCGAAACCACTTTTCGCCAGAGGATTTTCCTGAGGGCTTCCCCAAGAACGTTCCAAAATTCTTCCCGATGATGGTATGTTTGAGGGTTTTCTCCTCAAACTTTCCAGACACCACCGTCAGAAAGGTGTTTGGCTCCTGCGAAATGCTTTTTTGTGAACAAGCTTTCCAATATACACCCTCCTGATGAAGGTTTTTGGCCGGCTTGTGGAGGACGGCCTACAACAACCTTTCCAGAAGAAGATGATCGCAATGTTTTTCGTGGAATGTCATTGGAACTTTTTGTTTAAGCGGGTGTCTTGTATTCTCTGGACACCCCGCGCAGGATCAGGAAAAGGAACCCACTCACATCAACACCACCACAACTACCACCATCACCATCATCATCATCATCATCACCATCATCATCATCATCACCATCATCATCATCATCATCATCATCATCACCATCATCATCATCATCATCTTTCGCATCATCATCATCATCATCACCATCACCATCACCATCATCATCATCATCCTCATCATCCTCATCATTGTCATGGTCATGATCCTCAGTATCATCATCAGCATCATCATCACCATGATGAGCGTCATCATCAGCAGCCTTACCACCGCCCACACCATCATCATCATCACCCTGTCTCTGCGTCGCTCACACTCACACTCACACGTGCACACGCAACCATCATCATCATCATCATCATCATCATCATCATAATCATCATCATCATCATCATCATCATCATCATCATCATCATCATCGTCAGCATCATCATCATCATCGTCAGCATCATCATCATCATCACTCAGCCCCTCGCACTCATTCACTCTCCACTCATCATCATCACCATCGTCGTCGACATCACTCCCACACTCATTCACACACACACACACGCACAAAAGGCACTCACATTCTCACACAACCGCACTCACCATATAATCTTGCGGAAGTCTTAGGCGGGAGCCTTGTTTGTTAGTGCATTGTCAGGAAGTCTCAGGCAGGGCCTTTTTCCTATGCGGCCCGCACTTCATGTTGGCAATCGTCCAACTCTTGTGCCTGCTGTCATTTTTGGGCCCCTCACGCTTGAATTTTGAAGAAGCCTGAGGCGGGAGCCTCGTTAGTGAGCGACTTGCGAGGGGGTCTCACGCGGGAGCCCCCTCCATATGGAGCCCGTTTTCATGTTGGTAGTCCGAGCGGGTCATCCAAATCTTCTACATGTCGTTTTTTGGGCCCCTCGCGCATGAATCCTGAAGAAACCTCAAACGAAAGGTGATGCGACATCTCGCGGGCCAATCCGAGCGGGGTCACTGTTGTGCTTCTAAGAGGGCCACCCGTTCGGCTGAACCCAGTCCCCCGTCGCGGCGATGGCGTCACCATCGACTGCGCCAGGGATGAGGACGCTGGTCGCGCGGGCATGTCGGACGAGCAGTGGTGGTTGCACGTCTACGTCATGTTCTCCCGCGCTACGTGCATGCGGAACAAGCTGACCCTGCGGCCGCCCGCGCGGAAGTTCCTGGAACGCGGGCCGCCGGCGTCCCTGCGGAAGGCGCTCTGGAAGTTCGACGAGATAGCGGAGATCTCCAGAACCGAGGCGGGACAATTCGCAACACGGTTGGGTTTCACGCTGCCCCCCGTCTGAGCGAGCGCGGCCGCGCCCACCTCGAGGCCCGCGGTGTTGTCCCAACGGCCTGGCCCGCGGGGTTGTCCCGACGGCCCGCCCCCGCGCCCCAGCGGCCCGCGGGATTGCCCCAAAAGCATGGCCAGCCAGATTGCCCAGAAGGTTTCCCGATGTATCCGTCGGCGGACGCGCGCGCTGGCCGAGGTGGCGGCGGCGCCAAGGAACATCGCTTTGCATGCCCCGACCGTGGGGAAGGGGAGGTGCGCGTGGAGAAAAGGCAATATGAGGACGAGGATGGGGAAAAAGGGGTAAGGTGAGGGTGATGGTGTGGAGGAGGTGGGGACAGGAGAGGGGGAAAAGGAAGAGGAGGAGGAGGAGGTCACTAAACGGAGGAACAGGAGGAGAAGGCAGAGCAGAGGGCGAAAAAAAGGTGTCCGCCAGGGCGAGGAGGACATTGCTAAATGCAAGCCAGCCAGATTCTCATGCGGGGTGCTACGGTCGGAAAACTCGTTAGAAGGTATTTGGGCGGCTTCCTGAATGTATCAGGCGGCTCGGCCAAAGCGAAGAGTTGTTGGAACGATCGTGGAAATTCGGGGGCGGCGCTTGGAAAGTGGACGGTTCTGGGTTTGTGAAGTCTTTCTAGAAACCGCCATGCGGACAACTTCCTCGTTTGTCCCCGCCTCACCCGAATCGGGGATAACCTGTCAAACCACCGCAGTGAGGAAGGTTTCCAGGACAGTTTCCGCGAACTGCCGCACCGGGCTCAGAGGAACAAGTAATCATGAAACACAATAATAAAAAAAACGGTGGTTGGCTGCCGCGGGTCGAAAATGCTTACCGTGGGGCCAAATCGATCTCGGTACGGGGGGGATACATGCCCTCGTGTTCTGCGTGTCCGTTGGATGTTCCTGTGCATGTTGAGGGAAGACACCCTTAGATGTTCTGTGTGCTTTGGTCGGCTGGGCGCTTCATGCTCTTGAAGCATGTTCTTTTGCCCCTGGCCCGACTGTAGACAAACGGTTTGAGTTCCGCGCCGGTTTCTTGGATTGCCGCTGGTCCCCCAGGCAGAGATTCAATGTGTCTGTATATGTCGTTGTTGCTCCTGTAGGGGTGCGGGCGGAGGTAGAGGTGAGCAGAGTTGTTTACCCTCTCTCTTCCCGTCCCCCTTCTCATCCACTTCTTCCCCTCCCTCGTCCTGCCATTCCCCCGTGGCGCACACTGTGTCCTCGGCCTCGCCATATTCGTTGTCGTCGTTGTCGTCGTCGTCGTCGTCGCCGCCGTCGTCGTCGTCGTCGTCGTCGTCGTCGTGCTTGTCGTCGTCGTCGTCGTCGCGGCGACCGCCGCCCAGTGGAAGTTCGGGCCGTGGGAGCTCGTCATCACGGTGCTCTTCGCGTGCTACTCCCTGGAACCCGCCTTGCGGATGTCGAGCATCTTCCTGAGCCCAGGGCGGCAAGACGAAGCCGTTCCCCCACAGGCCTCGCCGTGGGGGAGGGGGACTCGCCGTGGCTTCCTGGGGGCCATCCTTGCATTCTGCATTGCGTCTTTTGGGTCCCGAGGTCCAGCATTTTCTGTTGTCGACGCATGGATCTACGAAATCCCCGAAAATTTCAGTGTTCGAAGACCCCGATCCTATGTTTCAGGCCGCCGAAATAAACTACGAGAACCCAGGGTCGGAGGATCGTGCCGCATCGCGGATGCGTCGGCGATGCGACTTGATTTGGAGCCAGACTTGCTCCAAACCGACGTCGCTCATGTATCGCCGTCGTCGCCGACGTGTCGCTGATGCATTAGTAATATATCGGCGATGCGGCGCGATCTTCCGAGCCTATCTATTCGGACCACATCGGAGGGCCTGCGTACCCCCAGAGAGAGACGAATTCATTCACGCGCGCAGATGCGATGTTCGGCCTCCTGTGCATGGAGGTGGGCAATGGCACACTATCGAGAAGGAGATAGAGGAGGAGCGAAGGGGACATCCACACATGATGAGAGTGAGTGGTGATTCCGATCCGTTCCAGCCTCGGTAACGATCTGTCTGCCCGACTAGCGCCCGATTAGCGTGCCCGATCATCGGGCCGTGTTAGTGCACCCGGTTAGCGTGGCGTGCCCGTCTGGAACGCCCAGTTTGCTGTGCTCGCCCCCTTTGCCGAGTCCCCGTTGCAGCCGCGCGCGCAGGGACATAGAGCTAAACCGTTCGGGCACCCCTCATTATTGGGCATCGGTATATGTACATGTACATGTACATGAATGTGTACATGTAACGTCATACATACATACATACATACAGACAGACAGACAGACAGACAGACAGACAGACAGACAGACATGCATACATACATACATACATACGCACATACATACATACACATAGACATACATACATACATACATACATACATACATACATACATACATGTATACATACATACATACATACATACATACATACATGCATACATGCATACATACATACATACATACATACATACATACATACATACATACACGTTTACATATATACATACATGCATATATATTTACACCACACAAACATGCATATCTATATATGCATGCATGCATGCATGCAACTATACATATATACATATATATATATATATACACATACACGCCTACACACGTACATGCATACACACGTACATGCATACGCACATACACACATACACACATACACACATACATACATACATACATACATACATACACACACACAGGCAGACAGACAGACAGACAGACAGACAGACAGACAGACAGACAGACAGACAGACAGACAGACAGACAGACAGACATACATATATACATACACACATACATACATACATGCATACCGACCTACCTACCTACCTACCTGCATACATACATACATACATACATACATACATACATACATACATGCATTGGTCCTGGTGTTTGCTCTCGTGGGCTCCCTTGGGGAGGCTCATGGAGCTCTCTTGGGACGCCTCGACGGCTTCTCTTGGGCCGTCTTGAAGCCTGGGGCCGTCCTGAAGCCATTCTGGGCCGCCTCGAGGCCAACGTGGAACGTCTTGGATGCATCTGGGCCTCGGGAGCTCGAACGTGTGTCGCAGCTGTCCGCGGCTCTGCGGCCTCGGGGCAAGTGGGGGTGGTGCGCGCAGCAGGTGGGTGCGCCCCGACAGCGCCAGGGGCGTGTTTGGGAGCCGGCAGGGCCTCGAAAAGGGGGGCGTCGGGTCTGCACGAACGAAATGGGCACGGAAATGCTGGGTACGATGCCCAACCGCAGTTCCTGCTCACTTTGAACAGGACTCGCTGTCCGCGCCGCCGCGGCCTGTGTCCATTCGAGACAGAAGGCCGCCTGCCCAACAGCGGCCGCTGTTGGTCTGGGACAACATTTGTTGTGGGGCATTGTACCCATTTTTTCCGTCCCCATTTCGGGCGTCCAAATCGGGGCTCAAGAGACGGGGATCAATGATGCAAACGGGGGTCAGCCAGGGCACAGGCTCCTGCAGGATCCTGCGAATTTCTCCTCTGGCTGGCCCAGGTTGGCGAGCCGCTCGTGGCCGCGAGGCGGCCGCGCCTATTGGCTGACCCGGGTTTGCGAAGACCTGCGTTGCAGGTTTTTTTTGTTTCTTGCATTGCAGTAGTTTGGTTTCCTGCTGACCCGGGGCTGGAGTGACCCGGGTCAGAAGATCCCCGAGGGCGGAGGGCGCAGGGGGATTCGACGAGCGGGAGGGGGTGGAGACCTCAGAAGATTACAGAAATCCTGCCAGAGAGCAACTGGCGTTCTAGCACGCCTCAACGTGCCAGGGGGCATGGTGGCGACCATACCTCGCGGTCAGATGCAAACAAGCAGTTGCCAGCTTCCCAGCTGGTGGGAAGGGGACTCCCACGATGTTTCAGCTGGCCAGGCAGCGGGGGGACGGAGAAGATCGGCCGGGTCTAGTGCCGGGATGATCGTTCGAGAGCTTCCGGAACGCTCTCAGAGCGTCCCGCGGCGGCCGACACATCCTCAAAACCCGCCCGATCTTGGAGATCCCCGAGCTGTCCTGGTGCGACCTTGTCCCGGTCCTGGTACCGTCTCAGACGACGACGACGATGACGACGACGGCGGCGGCGGCCACGACGACGACGCCGACGACGACCACGACGACGATGGGAGCGACGACGACGATGGGGGCAACGACGCCGATGGCAAAGGTGGGTAGGATGCAACCCCTGGGAGGGTCAAATCAGAATCGGTGCTGGTATATCCGTGGTTGCAATCCGGCCTGATCCAGCATAGTATTGCTTACTTTGGCTTGATCCCGCTCAGTCCAGCTTATGATCGGAGGCTTGCTCTGGCCTTATCAATCTGAATGGCTATGGCACCTTCATCGGGCATGTTGGCCCTTGCTCGTCCTTGTGAAGTTTTCCCAGGAGTTGTTTCCTGGGGGGGGGGCGTAGACGAAGACGCGGACGACGATGAGGCCGACAACGAGGACCATAACGACGACGACAGCGACGTCGGCGACGACGACGACGGCGACGACGACGGCTACGACGACGACGACGACGACAACGACTACGACGACGACGACGGCGACGGCGACGGCGACGACGACGACGACGACGACGACGACGACGACGACGACGACGGCGACGACGACGACGACGGCGACGACGACGGCGACGAGCGGCGACGACGACGACGACGAGCGGCGAGCGGCGCCGCGGCCGGCGAAGGCCCAGCTGGCGCTCCCCGCGCCCGACCCCGCCCCCCCGCGGCCGCTGCCGGAGGCCGCGCCCCCCGCGCCGCCCCCCGCGGGCCGTCGGCGCCCGCCCGTCGCCGCCGCCGTCTGCCGTCCGCCGTCGTCGTCGTCGTCGTCGTCGTCGTCGTCGTCGTCGTCGTCGCCGTCGTCGTCGTCGTCGTCGTCGCCGTCGTCGTCGTCGTCGTCGTCGTCGTCGTCGTCGTAGTCGTTGTCGTCGTGTCGTCGCCGCCGCCGTCGCCGCCGGCGCCGTCTTTTCAAGCAGTGGCGAAGCGTCCTGGCGTGCGTACAGTCAAAAGCCCCCGATAGGGACGCGCGACTTTGCTCGGGGTACCCTTGCGTCCTTGCTCTTCCTTGCTCTTGCGTCTCCTTCCTTCCTTGGTTTCGTCCTTGAGGTTTTCGTCGTCCGCCGCCCCCAAAAACCCAGCTTCGGCTTCCAAGGGTCTTGCGTCCTTGCCGCGCGTCCTTTTTAGGGTTTTTGACTGTATAGGCCCGCCAAACAGTGTTCTAATAACGTCTTCTGGATTGCACGAATGGTTCGTAGAACGTTTCTGGCGGGGACCGTTTTGTTTTACTACATCGGGCCTTTGCTCCAAGAGCATTGCCTTCGTGCTTAGAACATGTCGGGGTTCTGCGAAACTTTCGTGGTAGGCATATAGAAAGGCCGGGACGGTCGGCCCCTGCTCAAAACAACGCCAAAAACATAAACGTTTGGGGATCCGCGCGGATTTTTTGGATCCGCGCTGGGCCCCCCTCCCTGGCGCAGATCTAAGCACAGATCCCAGCGGAAATCCCAGTCCAGCGCAGACCCAAGAAATCCGCGCGGCGCGGCAAACGTTCATGCTTATAGCGTTTTCTCTTCTTCCAGTCTTCGCCGTGCTCTCGCAAGACGTATGGCATCCTTTACAGACGTAAGGCTGGGGCCTTCTGAGAAGCAGGGTGCTTCCAAGAAGCCTTCCCCCCTCCCCCTGCCCCCCGCTGCGCGCCGCCAATTCTTCATCGAGGGTAGGAGAGCCCCAAACCCGCTGCCTTTTGTTCTTGTTGCTCTAGCCTCCCTCCGCCTCAGACACCACGATCTTTTGCATCTCCTTTCACTTGCTTGAGAAGGGAAACAAAAGGAAGAGAGCCCCAAACCCGAATACAACGATGAGGACGTGGCCTCACTGAGGTCCCCGTCTTCGCACCAGGGACAATCAGCTGGGTGGTCTGGTCTGATACATCTGCAGAACAGGACCCCTATCCTTAATGTTCTTGGCCCTCCTAACTTAGGTCCCCTCCCACATGGTTCGGGGTACTTTTGTTGCTTGTCGCTCCTGGCTCGGATCTGCGTGGGTGTTGCTAAGGGTTCCAGCTTCGAGAATTTTGGAGAGTTTTCGAGAGTCATTGGGGTTCGAGGTGTTCTGGCGGTTTCGCCGGATGTTGGCAGCTTTCCATTTTCGGGATGCTCTCCTGCAGCTGCGCCTCGCCGAGAGCGTTCCAGGGTGCCCGGATCGTCCCGAACGGCCCCCGGAGAGCCAATTTATCGCCCGAAAACTAATGGGCAACGTCTTTGGGATCGGCGCGGGGTTTGTTCAGAAGATAATTCGGGTGGCCATCAGAGGACGCCGAGGTAGACTGTATTTGGCGTGCAAGTTGGGGGCAGATGCTCCAAGTGGCTTAGGGGGGTGAGCAATCTGGGCTAAGTTGGCTGCGCACACTTGACGGAAACCCCGACAAAAATCATTCGAGGTATTTGTGCCCTTCTTATGATATATGTTTGGTCAGACCACTGATAATTCCATTATCTCTTTGGCACTGCCTGCGACGATCCCAGCAGGAGAAATGTTCAGGGAGCCACAGATCTCCGACACGGGCCCGATAGCACACCACGCCCAGGCACGTGGGGTTCTCAATCGGGGGCCTGTCGCACATGCACCGGTGACGCATTGCGGATTTCGGCGCGATCTTCCTCCCCCTGGCCTGGCCTCCCCTCGCATTCCCCCTCGAGGGAAGACCGGCGGACTGCGACGACGAGCTCAGCGACGAGGACCACGAAGCTCCGATGACCGCGGCGGCGGCGACGACGACGAGGCGGACTGCGACGACGGCGGTCGCGGCGACGAGGAGGGCAGCTCTAAGGACGATCGCGAAGTCGTCGACGGCGGCGGCGGCGACTGCGCCGTCGCCACGGCGCGATGAGAGGTGCCGGCGGGCGGCGGCGAGCCACCAGCGGAGGCGCCGGAGGCCCCAGCCGCGGGCGCCCGCCGTCGTCCTCGTCGTTTCCCGAGGAGGAGGAGGAGGAGGAGGAGGAGGAGGAGGAGGAGGAGGAGGAGGAGGAGGAGGAGGAGGAGGAGGCACGGGGCCTAGCAGTCGAGCACCAGAGGAGGAGGAGGAGGCTCGGGGGTGGACAGAACTCCCAATTGTGACACGCCGATTAGTGAATTGTCCGTGTTCGGTCCTCGAGAGGGCGCCGTGGCCGTCATTTGCCAGGCTTGCGCCCGCCAGGTTTGGGCCTCGGGTCGTTTTCACTGAACCACGTTTTGCTGAATGGGTGTCTGTCCATCCCCGAGAGGCACGGGGCCTGGTAGTCAAGCACCAGAAAAAAGCTGGAACTAGCTGACATCTGAAAAAGGCTGAGCTCAGCTCGAAGATGAACAGTTCAATGCACAATGCATCTATCTCCAGCGCCGCGGGGAGGAGGAAAAGTAACGAATTTCCCCCCCCGCGGAGAGGAGGAAAAGTAACGAATTTCCCCCCCCCCCCCCTCCCCCCCCCAAATAGCGCGCGCGGCCTGCCCTGCGGCAGCGGCAACAGCCTCGGAGTACTGCTGATTGGCGGCAGCAGCTCCCAGGGGAGGAAGTCTGGCGGCCGCTCGACGGGCCCTGCCTGTGGTAGTCCCAGACGGTGGTCTGCCAGGTCTCCAGGGCCCTGTCCGCCTCCATGTACGGCTGGTGGCCCGCGGTGTACGGGATGACGTCTGGCTGCGGCCGCACCTTGGACGCCTTGTGTGCCCCCGACGCCCCACGGCCGAAGGCGTCGCGCAACCAGGCCTGCCATGCCTGGTAGGAGGCGTTGTCCGCCTCGCGTAATCTGGCCGTGGCGGCAGCGACCACCCGCTCGACGGCATAGTCGAAGTGCTTGGAGCCCAGGAAGGCGATGCCTTGCGAGAAGTGCTTCAGCACCGTGGGGCCCATGAGCTGCAGCATCTCGGGGTGGGCGCTCCACCCAAACATGAACGCGTGCACGTCCTCCAGCAGGTTGAGGAGCTGGGAGGTCTTTCCGAACTCCTCGCGACCAAGGTTAGGGGTCTTCATGACGCCCACCTTGGCAACAATGAAGGCGCGCTGCCGTGCCAGGTGGTCCATCCATCTCTTGGCGACGGCCCAGTTGTGAGTGGATGCCTCGCGGTACTTCCGTCGTCGTTGAGGCTTCCATTTAATCTTCTTCCAGCGCAGCTCCAGAGGCCCAGCACGACCTGAGTGGCGAACCGCGGCAGGACCAGTCTTGTCCCATCGGCCGCAAAACTCCGCCTCGATGCCCTCCCGTAGCTGGTCCCAGATGCCGGGTAGCTCGTCCGCTCCAGTAGCTAACGTAGATGACGCCAAGACGTCTGGGCGCCCAGGATGGCCATTTGGGAGCCTCTGGAGGGGCCGGGAGGAATCCAGGGGCAGCCCAAGCAGACTCGAGCCGAGGTGCTCGCTGCTGCCGACGCCGCTGGTCTCGTCAGGAGGCTCAGCATCAGCAACAAGATTGCGACACCACTTCGGCCATCATGCCTTCGTCTCGAAGTGGCTGACGCGCAGGGCACTCCGACTCCTGCTGTTCGAGCTCCCGTGCACTCTCCGACCAGCGCCCCCAGAACGCCCTCGGCGAGGCGCAGCTGCTTGAGAGGATCCCGACTCTCGTCAGCGGGATCGGGAAAGAGGGACACACTAGGAAGGTCATCGACCACCCGCCCGTCGGCGGCCTCCCTGTGTGCTCCGCTCGTGACAGCGCGGGCGCGCCCGCGCTCCAAGAGCCTGGGGCTCCCCGCGGGGCCAGCGCGCAGGCGCCGTCCAAGCCTAGCGCCTAGCGCGTGGCTTCTGGAGCGGCCGCGGCCTCGCCGCCAGACCCAGCAGCCCCCTGCGGTACCAGTGTGGTCGCAGCCGTTGCCGAAGAGGATGTAGTCCTGAGGCGCTACCACCTGCCAGCCATGCCACGGTTGATCTCCTCCGCCCGCTTCCGAAGCTCGAGGGCCTGCTCTTTCGACGGGTTCTCCGGCACCAAGACGTCCTTGTGCCCAGCGGCGCGGATGAAGTCGGCGAGGTCGTCAAGGCCGTCGAGGTTGATGCGTCAGCATCAGGCTTACCATCAGGCTCAGCAGGAGCAGCAGGTGCAGCAGCGGTGCTCTCATGGCCAGGCGGCGCGCTGACAGCACGCGACTCGCTCCCAGTACTCTGAATTCGTCTCCTCCTCTCTTCTCTTGAACAGGCATGGTGAACGAGTCGACTTCTTGTAGTTGAGGAACGCGCCTCTGCCCCCCCCCTCAGTAGGGTATCCACTTGGTTTGACTTCACTACCAGTGTCATCGTGACCTAGGGCTCGTAGTTGATCGCACCCTTGCTCCGCACAATATACCTGGTGAGCTCTGCGTTCAAAACCACGCTTGCTAACGAGGCTGGTTTCAGAGCCGCCCTCCCGACCGCATCATCGTCGCTGGCATCCTTCGCACGCATCAAGCGAAGGAGCGTAGTCTGCGTATGTGTTGGCACATACATCGCTGTCGTCTTGGGCCCCATCGGGCAAACCTGCTCGCTTGGGTGCCTCTCGGCCTGCAGTGACGATCTGGCAAGTTACTGGCTTCGTTCCGACCTCTGCGTGGATCAGGTCGTCTTCTTGGATTGCTCCTTCGGCCAGAGCCCCATCAGGTATCTCGCACATGACAAATGTAGCTGGTTCTCCACAAGTTTGTGCCATCCATTGTCGTGCTGCTCGAAACTCGCCCATGTCTTTGCAAACGATCACAGGGGGCTTCTCATAGGCTGTGTTAGGCAAGGACACCGCTGACCACAGTGGTGAATCCCCCCAGCCCGACAGAGCCAATCTCGGAGTAAGTTTCTTCATTTCGGTATTTGGCCTCGATGTTGGTGATGACGCATCTGACCTGTTCCATGGACCAGCAGTTCCGCACAGTTCCCGCAACTGTGGCATGACCTGCTTTTCCGTTGGAGCGTAGCCCATCTTGTCGATCTTAGCAATCATACGACGAATCTTTTTGAGCCAATCTTAGCCAATCGTAGCATCGTAGCCAATACGACGATCTTCGATCTTAGCATCGTAGCCAATCTTGTCGATCTTAGTAGGCTCTTTGCTGTCTTGCACCTTCTCCTGCTTCTTGGGCGCAGTCTGCTGCACTTTGAAGCCACTCTCCGACAGTAGTCCTTTCGCCTGTGCTGCCGCGCACAGTCGATTCGCCGCCGCATTAAGCTGCTCGATCTGGCCATTCACCGGCTCCACCTGATGTCCCCGTCCAAGCTTCGCACGTTGGCCGCCTCTTCCTCGACTTCTGCTCACCAGAGGATCCTCGCACAATTGATTTTCGGCGATGCCATCCCCTCGCATCGCCTTGAAGCAGGACGGAACCTCCTCACCCAAGGCGAAGATCTCCACTTCTGCAGCGCTGATCTCCTGCGCATGATGGCGCGCTTGTCGCTGTGCTCTGCCTCAGTACGGGGAACTGTCCCATCACTGCCATTGCGGAGGCGCACAGCCTTGATGATGATGATGATGCTCATGACGGCGATGGTGATTGTGATGAAGCTGATGCTGATGATCCTGACGTTTGCAATGCTGACGATGGTGTTGGTGAGGATGATGGGGTAGTGAGCGCATGATTTCGCCGAGGGTAACGGCGTTGAGGATGACGCTGACGGTGGCGGTGATCGTGGCAACGACGATGGTGATGATCATGACGATGACGCTTGCAATGGTGACGCTGGTGATGATGGTAGCGATTGCGCAGAGGCGGGTGACGAGGACGTGCGCGCTCGCCGAAATTCAGAACGGCTGACGCCGCAGCTGGTGCGATCAGACGGATTTCGACGTGCTCGCGCGGAGACGTGGGCTTGTGGCCCGCATTGTCTTGCAGTAGATGCCCATGCCAAAGGACACCCTGCTTGCCTCCAGGGTGCCCTGGGTTTCCTGGGTTTCGATGGTGTTGCCATGGAAAGCGTGGCGTTCCCACACCAAAGGTCAATGGACGTCCTGGGGTCTCAGGGTTGGTTTTTTTTGAGGAAGGTTTCTTGTGGTCGGGCTCCTGCTGTATTTGTCAGAGTCGGCGGGCGTACAGTGGTCGTTGAACGGTTTCGGCATGCGCTCGCGTGCGGCCCACACCTGTCTGGTTTGACAGCAGGGCGAAACATCACCGCCCACTGAACCACCCCAACCCAACCCGGAGGCCCCGATTTGCCCTACGTTTCCAGTGGGGGGGGGTCGGGGACCTTGAAACAGTACATATGAAGCCCGTACCCCCTAACCCGAAATTCGGGCCTTCGGGTTGGGTTGGGCTGGCCTGGAGGTGGTCAAAACACATAGGGCTCCCTTATGGTCTCAGCGAGTGCTCGCGCAGAAGTCGGGCAATGCCTGGGTGAAAACCACCAGTTCTTGACAGCGTTCATCTAGCAAGTACCTTGACAGGCACGAGGGCTCGACGACGACCAGGCCAAAGACGACGACGACAAGACCTACGATGAGGACGACGGCGGAGTCGACGAGGACGGCGACGACGACGACGAGGACGAAGACGGCGAAGTCGACGACGATGACGAGGTCAACGACGAGGGTGACGATGGCGAAGAGGTCAACGACGAGGACGACCACGAAGTCGATGACGACAGCGGCGGCGGCGACTACGACGACGACGACGAGGAGGACTACGTGACTACGACGACGCCGGCAACGGCGACGACGCGGTCAACGATGAGGATGCTGACGAAGTCGTCGACGGCGACGACGGCGACGATAACGCCGACGAGAACGACGACGGCGGAGAGGTCAACGACGAGGACGACGACAAAGTCGAAAACGGCGGCGGAGGCGACGACGACGATGCCGATGAGGAGGACCACGACCAGGGCCACGGCGACGGTGGCGGCGAATAGCGTGCCCCGGTCTCAGGTCGTCCTGCCGCCGCCGCCACCTTTGGAGACGGCAGGCGAGGGAGCCAAGGAGGGCGAGGGGCAGGACCAGGCCGCTCGCGCGTCTCTTTGCCCCCTGCAGCCGTCGTCGTCGGTGTCGTCGCCGGAGTCGTCGATTTCGTCGTCGGCTTCGCCGTCCTCCTCGTTGGCCTCGTCGTCGTCGCTGTCCTCGCATACGACTTTGTCGTCGTCCTTGTCGACGGCCTCGTCGTCGTCGTCGTCGTCGTCGTCGTCGTCGTCGTCGTCGTCGCTGTGCCACCCCTCGCCCTCGGCCCACTCGTCCTGGTCCTTGACATCCGTCTTCCGCCGCCCCCTCGCTTCTGCTTCTCGTCGTCGTCGCCGTGTCGCCCCTCCTCGGCACCCTCTCCTGGACCTCTTCATCTTTCGCCGCCTCCCCGTCGTCATCGTCGTTGTCCTCCTCCCGGGGCGTGCTTCGGTACCCTAGGGCTCGTGAGAGGTGGAACGGCGGATGGGTCGGGGTTGGACAGAACCCGCCCTAGGACACGGCGATTAGTGGATTGTCCGTTTTCGGTTCTCGAGAGGGCGCCGCGGACGTCATTTTCCAGGCTTGCGCCCGCCAGGGGCCCGAGGCCGTGTTCATCAAGCCACTCTTTTTTTAGAGGGGTTTCTGTCCATCCCCGAAAGGGGAGGGGGGGCATGGGGAGGCGTGGCGGACGGAGAGCGGGGGCTCCCACCGCGGGAAGGGGTATGGGTATGGCCGGCATTCACGAGACGGGCGAGGGCGAGAAGGGGGGGGATGACGAAGGGGAGAGGAGCATAAGAAGGAAGGCCGGAGGAGGAGGGAGGAGGAGGAGGAGGAGGAGGAGGAGGAGGAGGAGGAGGAGGAGGAGGAGGAGGAGGAGGAGGAGGAGGAGGAGGAGGAGGAGGAGGAGGAGGAGGAGGAGGAGGAGGAGGAGGAGGAGGAGGAGAGGAGGAGGAGGAGGAGGAGGAGGAGGAGGAGGAGGAGGAGGAGGAGGAGGAGGAGGAGGAGGAGGAGGAGGAGGAGGAGGAGGAGGAGGAGGAGGAGGAGGAGGAGGAGGAGGAGGAGGAGGAGGAGGAGGAGGAGGAGGAGGAGGAGGAGGAGGAGGAGGAGGAGGAGGAGGAGGAGGAGGAGGAGGAGGAGGAGGAGGAGGAGGAGGAGGAGGAGGAGGAGGAGGAGGAGGAGGGAGGAGGAGAGGAGGAGGAGGAGGAGGAGGATGAGGTGATGATGGTGACGGTGGTGGTGGTGGTGGTGGTGGTGGTGGTACTGATGATGCGGTTGTGGTGCCTATGATGCGGATTAGGAAGAGAAGCAAACTATAGTCAGCACCCGTTACGCATCGTTACGGTGCAGAACTAGTGGTTCCCGCTGGGCATCAGTGCAGTCTTTTTTGTGCGCTCTTGCACTGTCCATGTCCCTCTCCCCCTTTCCCTCTGAGTCCCTTCGGTCAGGGAACAGCGCTATATTCCGATGCCACTCTTCCCCTCCCTGGCCTCTCCAGAGGTGCGCTCTGACCAGGATCTCAAAGCGCATCCAGCCTTCAGTGGAAACCCATAACAAGGAAACCCTGCTTGCCTCCTCCTCCTCCTCCTCCTCCTCCTCCCATTCGTTCTCCCATTCTTCTTCTCCTCCTCCTCCTCCTCCTCCTCCTCCTCCTCCTCCTCCTACTCTCCTCCTCCTCCTCGTGTTGGCCTCGGAGTTCCCAGGCATCCGCCGTTGCGATGTTCTCCTCACTGCTTTGCCCAAGAGGTCCCCCGATCCCTTCCCCGAAGGTTGTTTTTCGTCCCGGATCCGTTTCTGATGTTCCTGGGCCCTCAACAACTCGGGGGCGGCGAAGAGGGGAGTGATGACTGGGGGGGGCGATTTCATTGCGGGGCCCAGATTTCATGGCGCCTCTTTCTTTTTCAATGCGTCCCTGGCTCCCCCCTTGGGCCGCGCACATGCCGCCGGCCATGAATTTCGCCTCCCCTGTTTGCCGCCCCCGAGCCTCCACGGCAGACCCCAAAGGCCGAAACCAGAGGAAACACGCCAGGTCTAACAAGATCATTGCCGATCGGCTCGGGCCCTTGCACCCCTCCTTTCCCCCCCAATGGAGTAGATCTTGGCTGTCTTTGGCGCCTGCTTCAAGCAGGTGGGGCCTCCACCACAGGACGCCCTGTGGCAAACGTTGGCGTTCGGCAGAGGCCTGGAGCCAGAGCCCCCCCTGCACCCCCCTCCTCCCGCTCTTCCTCCCCCTCCCACTCCTCCTCCTCCTCCTCCTCCTCCTCCTCCTCCTCCTCCTCCTCCCTCCTCCTCCTCCTCCTCCTCCTCCTCCTCCCCCCCCTCCTCCTCCTCCTCCTCTCTCCTCCTTCTCCTTCTCCTCCTCCTCCTCCTCCTCTCTCCTCCTCCTCTTCCTCCCCTCCCCCCCCCCCCCTTCCCCCCCCCCTTCCGCCAAGGTCGAAGCGACGCCTAGCGAAAAAAACGCTGGCACGTCGTCGGAGATATGGTCGTGGCGCTTCGCCCCTCGGGCTTCCCCGCGCTGCCCGCGCGCGCGCGCCGGCGCGCCGCCAGGCGGCGACGCGGGAGGCGATGAGCTCCTCGAGCTTGGAGCCAGCTGGCCGTGCGCCCGGCCGCCCGGTCGGGGCGGCAGGGCGGTGGATGGCCAGG